ATGATATTTTGGCTCTCAATAATGACGACTTCAGTATGTATACTAAACAAATTTATCCTGTTGAACTTACTTTAAATAAAGCTAATACTAACAATGACCACTGCCCTTTCCTCGATCTTGATATCTATATCATTAACGGAAAGCTTAATACTAAAATATATGATAAAAGAGATGATTTTTCATTTCCTATCGTTAATTATCCATTTTTAGATGGTGACGTTCCCTTGTCACCATCTTACGGTGTTTATATATCTCAACTTGTACGATTCGCTCGTGTATGTAACAATGTTTTAGATTTTAACGAGAGAAATTTATGTATTACTGAAAAATTATTACACCAGGGTTTTCGATATCACAAACTAGTCAAAACATTTACTAAATTTTATCATCGGTATAAGGACATCATTCGTAAATATAGCTCAACATGCAGACTTTTTATACGTTCAGGTATTTCACATCCAATTTTTTATGGAAATATTCTTTATAAAGCACAAAAATGTCAGTATTCACCTCTGAAGCTAACAAAACCTTTAAATAGACTAATTAAGAAGGGATATAGTTACGATACTGTTGTCAGGTCATTAAAGATTGCATATTTTGGCGTTAATATTGATTCACTTATAGGGTCTTTGCATCGGCACTAAACACATTTATTTAAAAACCAGTTGTTGGCATGACACGGGTTATGTTCTTCTCATATATGTTATGATGGTATGATACTAAACCCCTAACGGGAAGGATTGTGCCTGATATTCATATGATGAAGACATAATCTTTCAATCAGTTTAATTGAAGTCTGGAGCTGGCATGTCAGTTAACTAATAGTAGTCTGTTGTTATTTATGTATTATTGTCATTTTGTTAATTTTCTTTGGTTACATCTTCTGACATCGGACTCGGACTTCTCTTGAACTGAATTTTAATGTGCGTATTGTTATGCGTTTACTTTTCTACATTGGCTAGAGGTATAGGGGGAGGGTTGAGATCTCATAAACATGTTTAACCCCGCCGCATTTTTGCGCCTGTCCCAAGTCAGGATCCTCTAGCCTTTGTCAGTCTTGTATTATTTTTAATTTTAGTTTCTTGTGTACAATTTGGAGTTTAGTATGGCGTTCATTATCACTGAACTAGTATATATATTTGTTAAGGGGCCAGCTGAAGGACGCCTCCGGGTGCGGGAATTTCTCGCTGCATTGAAGACCTGTTGGTGACCTTCTGCTGTTGTCTGTTTTATGGTCGGGTTGTTGTCTCTTTGACACATTCCCCATTTCCATTCTCAATTTAATAATGTAAGCATTTTTCTAGTTTCCAGACAATAACTTTTGTTCAAGTGTATGGATCTCTCTGAAATTGTACTGCAAGGTACCATACCACAAAGGGAAGGCTGGGATTGATTTTGGGGGTAATTTCCTCAAAATTTTAGGAATAAGGGACCAAAAAGGGGCAAAAAACAAGCATTTTTCTAGTTTCATGACAATAACTTGTGTGTAAGTGTATGGATCTTTCTGAAATTGTACTACAAGGTTCCATATCACAAGGCAAAGCTGGAATTGAGTTTGGGGGGTAATTGCCCAAAACGTTTAGGAATAAGGGGACAAAAAGGGGCCAAAAATACTAATGTAAGCATTTTTCTAGTTTCCAGACAATAACTTGTGTGTAAGTGTATGGATCTTTCTGAAACTGTCCTACAAGGTTCCATATCACAAAGGGAAAGCTGGAATTGAGTTTGGGGGTAATTTCCCAAAACGTTTAGGAATAAGGGGCCAAAAAGGGGCCAAAAATACTAATGTAAGCATTTTTCTAGTTTCCAGACAATAACTTTTGTTCAAGTGTATGGATCTCTCTGAAATTGTACTGCAAGGTACCATACCACAAAGGGAAGGCTGGGATTGATTTTGGGGGTAATTTCCTCAAAATTTTAGGAATAAGGGACCAAAAAGGGGCAAAAAACAAGCATTTTTCTAGTTTCATGACAATAACTTGTGTGTAAGTGTATGGATCTTTCTGAAATTGTACTACAAGGTTCCATATCACAAGGCAAAGCTGGAATTGAGTTTGGGGGGTAATTGCCCAAAACGTTTAGGAATAAGGGGACAAAAAGGGGCCAAAAATACTAATGTAAGCATTTTTCTAGTTTCCAGACAATAACTTGTGTTCAAGTGTATGGATCTCTCTGAAATTGTACTGCAAGGTACCATACCACAAAGGGAAGGCTGGGATTGAGTTTGGGGGTGATGAATCATAAGGGGGTTCAAAAAATTGGGGAGGGGGGGGGGGGGTCGTCTCCTTTTTTTTTCCCCTTTTTTTCCTTTTTTTTTTTCTTTAAAATTTTTCAATTTTAAGTTGGTTATTTTTGATTTATATATATTTAAGCAAATAATAATGATAAGGTTTGATTTCATCAAAAATTGAAATATTGGGGTTCTTTGATGTGCTGAATCTAACCGTGTATTTAGATTTTAAATTTTGGTCCAGTTTTCAAATTGGTCTACATTAAGGTTCAGAGGGTCCAAAATTAAACTTAGTTTGATTTTAACAAAAATTGAATTCTTGGAGTTCTTTGATATGCTGAATATAAACGTGTATGTATTTAGATTTTGGATATTAGACCATAATAGGTAAATTAAAATTTTTTAAGTTCTTAGACCACATTCATATTGTGTCAGAAACCTATGCTGTATCAAATATTTAATCACAATCCAAATTCAGAGCTGTATCAAGCTTGACTGTTGTGTCCATACTTGCCCCAACTGTTCACGGTTCGACCTCTGCAGTCCTATCAAGCTGTGCTCAGCGGAGCATTTTATTGGCTTACATCTCAAAAACCAAAGTATTTAGAGCAAATCTGACATGGGGTCAAAGTGTTCCTTTTGGTGAATTATCAGATGAATCTAATTACCCAATGTTGGGTTGCTGTCACTAAATTGGTAATTTTGAGGCAAATTTTGCAGTTTTTGGTTATTATCTTGAATATTATTAATGATAAAGATAAACTGTAAAAAGCAAAAATGTTCTGCAAAGTAAGATCTACAAATAAGTTAAATATGACCAAAATTGTCAATTGACCCCATAAGGAGTTATTGCCCTTTAAAGACAATTTTTCACAATTTGTTCATCTAGTTTGCTTACTTTAAAAAATCTTGTCCTTTGAAACTGCTGAATCAATTTCAGCCAAACTTGGGCTGAATGAGTTTCAGAGTATCTAGTATGAATTTTGAATTTTATTTCCTTGTACGTCAAAAAACATGGCCACTATGGCTAAAATGGAACATAGGGGTAAAAAGCATTTTTTTGCTTTTGAAGAAAATATGAAAAATATGACAGATACACAGAACATTTAAATGGAATTTTTAAAAAGCAAAAATAATCATCGATGAAAGATTTAAGCAAAAAATTACAGGTGAGCGATTCAGGCCCTTGAGAGCCTCTTGTTTTGTAAACAAACCGAAATTGTGATGCAATCAGTGATTTTATCAACAAATGTCTACTGGTCTGCCAGACCACCCGCTGACAAAATCTACTGGTCCGACGCAAATTCTACTGGTCTCAGATCTATACTATAAGTAATAGAGCAACTATATTTTGTGTATGGAATGATTGTAAGGTATACGTGTACATGTCTGTCTGGCAGGTTTCATATTTCATTGACCTCATTTTCATTGGCCATTGATCAGTTTTAAGTTTAAGTGGTTTGGTCTTTTTCCAAGTACTACATACATTAGCAATATGACCACAATATTTGATGTATGGAATGATTGTAAGGTGTAAATGTTTGTTTGGCATGGTTCATCTGACCTTGACTTATGTTTCATGGGATATTGATTATAAAAGTGCTTGTGATACTTGTAAAAAAACCTGTATATTGTAGACTTTCAACATAAATTCAATGACAAGTAAATTTTTTAAAGCAGACATTTCAGCATTTGCACTTTTGTTATAATATGTCATTCATTTTGTATTCATGCATGGCTTGTTTGCTTCAGTTCATTTAGAATTATTTTCAATTATTGTATAAATGATTTATAATAAAGTTTACATGTATACTTCATGAAAATGTAGTTACAACTTACATGTAGTTTGCCCAAACCTGTCTTTGTTTGAATTAGACTCAACATTGGCTTATGTTCTATTTGGTCGCTGTATCCTTTGGGTGTATCCTTACCTGATATAAGAAGCAAGTCAAACACATTTAACCTTAGCAGGGTGGCTGTAAGGAGGCAGTGTGAAAACACCATGGACAACATAAATAGCTGTGAAAATCTTATCAGTTTTCTTTGAGACTAAATCATTTGTATTTTTTTTTATTTGACATTAAAGAAATCTTTTAAAATAGGTAAATATATTCAAATATACAAAAAACGTTGACAGTATATATTTCAACAGATGTGAAGCACACTGGAAAAAGTAAAATCTACAGAACATTGACATGCTTATTAATGTTCACGAAAAGTCATCTTTTAGAAATGAGCAAATAAAATATGTTACAAAGCATCTATTTCTTAAAAAATGAATACTAAGCATGGACTAATGTCAAATTGTTCTAAATATTTAAAGAAATAAAACAGTACATGTGTTATTTGATTTTTAAGAATGTGAATTTAAGCATGGGTGCAATTTGGGTACTCCTTATTACAGAATAATGGATCGTTTGGAGGTCGGTTCAAACCCATTTTTTCTATGTACCAATATATGAATTCAAAATTAACTTGGTTTAACTATGGTATATAGTAAAAAAGGATACATCTACCATATCTACAAAATAAACACAGAATGGTAACTTTTGTCTCGATCGTAAAAAACATAGGTGAAAAAACTGTCAAAATTGGTGCAATTTGGGTACCCCCAGGTTACATATGTTTAAATGTTGTTCTAATTCCTTTATATGCCTGTTAATATAAGTCATGAGGTCAACACTTTTCATAAAATTTTTGAAAAATCTGGAAATGTGTTAGGTCTGACTGCCATAGTCAGTAACTATCTAATTAATGCTTTTCTTTTTAGGTTCTCTTTTGAGATTACACCTGTCGGCCAAATTTTACGTGTGTACCATCCAGAAGAAAAAGATGATTTGGTCTTGGCCACGAAGAAAGGATTTGCTGCTCTTCTTGCATCAAGACTTCATGAAGAAGGAGAAGTACATGTCACTTATATTGTTTACTTAAATACATAGAACTCTTTCATCCTTTTCAAATTTAATACATTCTAGGTAATATGTTAGCTATGGAATACCCATTCTTTTAATTCTGAAATTGCTAATTGTTAGGTAGCAGCTGCAGCACACTAGATTTTCATCTTTGAACATTAATGCTCAGTGAAGTTAAAACAATTCTCACTATATTTTTCTTCTACGGTAATATTGAAATATTTGAATATACTATCTTGTTATTTTTCAGATATCTGGAAGTCCATCACATGAAGGTTTTACTTACCAAACACAAGAACTTGGCCATGAAGGTAAATAATAATGATGTAAAATTCCAGAAAGTTATTAAAAGTTTATATATCGATAGATTAATTCACCATCTATCTTATTCACCAGTTTCAACGACAACCATTGATAATCAGGCTCTTGACTTGTAACATGCACATACAAAATGAAGTGGGGTTAACATGTTTGCTGGCACCAAACCCTCCCGCTTACCTGGGACAATGGTGTAACAATACAACATAAAAACAAACTATAAAAATCAGTTGAAAAAGGCTTACCTCATCAGATTGATACAAAGCAGAAAAAAAACCCCAAAAATTAAACAACATATATGAGCTTGTGCAATGCCAAAATATCGGTATCAACAGATTGAAGGACTGTGAATGAACATACAGTTGACTCACATTATCTCAAAGTCAGTTTTATATCAAGCAGAGTGTTCACTCTCCTTCTCATATATACTCATTGCTTGTATTATCTGTTTCATCGCATTTACTTCATGAATTTTAATGATTTTCTAAAAACTTTTAAAAACAATTTATGGAATGCAGCAGTTTAAAATTGAAATGATTTTAATGACTCAAAACGATAAATTTCTCCATAATCATCAATGCATCTTTTGATTTTGAAGACGAAATAAAAACAGGAAGTTTCATGTTATTACTTAGGTACAAGTGATTCGGTATTCATTTCCTGGATTCCTTTTGTTTATCAAATGACAGGCAATCAACAGACTTCGTCTCTAATTGTAAATAAAAAAATAATTTAAAAGTGGATGTGTTTATGATGTCAAGAAAGAAAAGAAGATGGTTTCAATAGTCATGTGGTAATTTTTATTCAGATAGCTATTTATCTGCACTACATTTTGCTATTCAATTTTTTGAAAATTTAGTTGTAAATATGCAATACATGTTCTCTCAGATTTTCCATCATTTTGTGAGCTATAATTTTGGTGTCTATTAAGTACAGATCTTTGATTGAATGAATGGAAAATAAAAATGATATATTTTCTCGGGTGACAATATTTTTATCTTGAAACTTTGATACATAGTAGTATATTTATTGCGATAACTTTTTATGCCCCATTTGTGGGCATTATGTTTTCTGATTATCGTCCGTCTGTTTGTCCGTCCGTCCATCCCGCTTCAGGTTAAAGTTTTTGGTCAAGGTAGTTTTTGATGAAGTTGAAGTCCAATCAACTTGAAACTTGGTACACATGTTCCCTATGATGTGATCTTTCTAATTTTAATGCTTAAATTAGAGTTTTGACCCCAATTTCAAGGTCTAATGAACATAGAAAATGATAGTGCGAGTGGGGCATCTGTGTACTATGGACACATTCTTGTTTTTCTGATGTCTAAATAATGCTGTGGTTATTGTTTTTTTTTCTTTATAGGACCTCATAATGCCACATACATTGTTAAACAGACAAGTACTGGACTGCAGTTCACTAAAGTACGACACGAACCACTGGTTAAAAACGCTGGTGGAAAATACCAAAAGGTTAGTGTCATTATTTCTTTAAAAAAATCATACCCTAAGCTTGGGCCATAACAAGATAAATGTAAGGTTCTTATTATTTTATCGGATTAGTTGACTAGGGAAAGTCATCTTGGAGACATTTTTAGTAAAGGAAAGATATTTGCTTAAACAGTAATTTTTCAAAAACTGGAAAGATTTTAGAGTTACAAGACTGCTGATAATTATACACAACACATTTTAAAGAAAACTTTTATTATATAATATACTATTCTAAACATCATTATCCAAATTAGATACCATTACATAACAATATACATTTCTATAACTTAAAATGTTACATTATTGGCTTTCTTGTGGCTACTCATTCATTGAAAAATTTAACCTTTGAATTTTTTAAACCTAATAAAATACATGTAAATTGAAAATGCCTAATGGTAAAATTATGTGAGTATTTGTACAAAAAAATTAACATAAATACCTAACAATGCTGGGGAGATCCCTGCAGCAAACTTAAAACTGTATGAAATTTCACCTGGGGAGATCCCGTCAGGTGTGAGTTTCTTGACTAGAGAATTTACCGACCTGTGGAGATTCAGGCAGGAATTAACCTATATGATGTATTATTGAATTTGGGGAGTATAATTCCCCTTGAATTATTAAGGCCTGAAGCAATTTATCCATAATATGAGTAGCCCCTAAATTAGTGAGAAAACAAGTCTAAATATACAATGTACATATATATGAAACTAAACTTAATGACTAAGATAGTTATTAATGATTAAAACAATTATTAAAGAACTAGTATCATAAAGTCAATATTATGTATAATTATGTGTTAAGTCTCGTGTGAAAAATCCCTTAGGTTCAACAAATAAAATATGAAGCTTCACTATCTATCTATAAACTAAACAAATACATACTGGTAAGATACAATTATATTATTTGAAACCCAGATTGTGTAGCTGGGGACGGTGGGAGGGATAGCTGATTAAAAAACATATGCCTAACACACGCATCAGCATGAAAGCTTGTTAATTTGACAATGAGGTCATCAAAACACATACCCCCTCTAGGTGTAAACAATAATAGAATCTAAAAATAAATTTACCTAAAAATAGATTGATGTACTTAGATAGAAGATACATGTGTCCTGAATAAACTATAATTTAATAAATCAAATTTACTTTGGTCAGATAGCTGTAATGAAGATGTTGTTATTTGTGCAATTACATGAAAAAGGTTTTTCTTGGATAAACAATACATATATAGATATAGGAAGATGTGATATGAGTGCCAATGAGACAACTCTCCATCCAAGTCACAATTTATAAAAGTAAACCATTATAGGTCAAGGTACGGTCTTCAACATGGAGCCTTTGCTCACACCAAACAGCAAGCTATAAAGGGCCCCAAAAAATTACTACTGTAAAACCATTCAAACGGGAAAACCAACGGTCTAATCTATATAAAAAAACGAGAAACGAGAAACACTTATGAACCACATCAACAAACGACAACTCCTGAACATCAGATTCCTGACTTAGAATATATCTTATAGTAAAAATTCTTTTGATATCAGATATTAGAATGTCCTTAATATCTAGCACAACATAGAATCTTGTTGATGAAAATTACAAAATCTATCAAATTTATAAGCTTCAACAATTTACTGACATATATAGTGTAAAATTAATTTTTAGGCAGTTAAGCTGCCTTATGCTACCACCCTAGATTTGTGTTCTTCCCACTGAATGGTGTAAAAAGTGCTATTGTTATTATCTAGCTGGTTAATATGTTATTAATAACTAATTGGGCACTTTTTTCATACTTTCAATTCTGGAATACAAAAAATATGACCAGAAAAACCTTAAATGATCGTCAAACCACCCAAAATTTTTGAAGTTGCACATAGGAAGAAGTGCTCAAAAGAAATCCATACGTAGTTTATTATCCCATGTGCTTTGGGCTAAGATGTCAAAGAACAATTGTATGAAATATTTCATCGCCGAAAATCTCTAATTATAAGTCGTTTACATTTCCCAAATGGCAAAAGGCGCAGGAATATTGTTCATGTACACCAAATCTCTATGATAGAGGAAATAAAGTTATATATAGTAGTCTAAGTTGGCGGTAATTTTAACTTACACGAAACGTAAGCTAGTAAGTATTCTGATGTTATAAAGTAAGTTTTGTTAATCACTATGTTCTTTTCGTTTAAGAAGGTTGTGATTATAAAAATTGATTTCAATTAAATGTATGCACATTTAAATTCCTTTCTTTTATTGTATTAATCCATTTATCACTGACCTTTCAAGACAAATAAAGTTGTTGTTGTTTTATGAATGAAAAAGATCCAAAAATCGACATTGATGGGATGTTTTAAGATATGAGGACAACTCGTCCACGAGACAAGTCGGACCGAGTCCACTCGGACCGTCTAAGTAGACAACTCGGACCGCTTGTCAGATTTACTTAGGGTTTCATAAAATGTTAGACTAACATGTCTAGCGGAGCCATCAATCTTTCGCTTGTGCATTGGGGTCTATTAAGGGGTATTTTGATTGGCCTAAATAAGGGAGGGGTTTACTATAGAACCCTATGGGATTTTATTTTTTTCAATTTTCAAATGACAATTACTTGAAAACAGTAAGTGATAGACACACACGGTCTTCAGTAATGATAACAGGACAATAGAACAAATAAAATAAAATATAGGGTGAATCTCTGGGGGTCATCCCACCCCCTTCAATTTGAAAATGTGCTTTTATGTTGTAAATGGTCGCGATCCCCACCCCTAAACCATATATATACTTGTACGGGACGATAAAACAAATCAAATGAAAATTTAGGGGATTCCCCAGCGTCACCCCACCCCCTTCTGTTTGAGAACTTGTAAACGGTCGAGATCCCCACCCCTACTGCATATATATTCTTGTATGTGACAATAAAACAAATCAAATGAAATATAGGGGAGTCCACAGGGGTCCCCCCTTCTTTTTGAAAACTTGTAAACGGTCGAGATCCCCAACCCTTAACTGTATATATTATTGTATGGGACAAGATAACAAATCAAATGAAATATAGGGGGAGTCCCTGTGGTCACCCCACCCCCCTTCTTTTCGAAAATTTGTAAATTGTCGAGATCCCCACCCCTACACCACATATATTCTGGTATGGGACAATAAAACAAATCAAATGAAATATAGGGGGAGTCCATGGGGTCACCCCAACCCCCTTCTTTTTGAAAACTTGTAAACGGTTGAGATCCCCACCCCAAAACCATATATATTCTTGTATGGAACAATAAACTAAATCAAATGAAATAAAGGGTGAGTCCCCTGGGGACCACTCCCCCCCTTTTTGAGAACTTGTAAACAGTGTGAGATCCACCCCTAAACCATATTTATTCCTGTTCGTCATTTCAAGAAGATTTGAATGACATGCAGGGTCAATCTCCTAGGCGTCACATATGCATATTACTTTACTAGACCTAACCAATTTGTACTGTACTTTGCCCAATGTCAGGCGACCATGGGAATGAGGAATTATGGGAGCTCTGTTTGGAAGACTTTGTAACAGCATCCTATTATTATTTTTATAAAATTTAATTGATGCAAAAATAAGTCTAGGTTAATTGAATTTACTTTAATTATTTTTTTGAATTATTTCTTGGCCTATAAAAATTTTCATTTATAGCTCATTTTAAAGAAATATAAATTTTTCAAGCAGTGTAAAGCCCAAGAATGTTTGACCAACTGTTTTATAATCACCTGTCATTTTATTCCAAACTTGGGATGGAGTGACATCAAAGACTTGGTGAAGGTAAGGGTCATTTACATTTACTATGGGCAGGTCAATCAGACCGCACCTTTGATCCCTGTAGTAGTAAACCTTTGGCTGATTTGTGTCTAATAACTTTTGTACTGTAGAACCCAAACTCAGTGTTCCTGCCAGGGAATCAAGTCCATTCATACTATTACAAACTCGTACTACGTCAACTTGTACCACTAAAAGTGAGCTGGTACCAACGTTAACTACCAACTAGAACAACTGCAATCATTGCGAACTTGTACCACTGCAAACTCATCATTAAAAATATACATTGATATATGCATTGCTTTTGAAAATCTTGATAAAATATTAATCAATTTGCCTTTAAATATAATAATCAATTCATTAAATAAACATACATGTACAATATATGAATGTTTAATGTTTGTTCTTTCAAATCTTTTTAAAAAAATGAAGCAACACTGCCAGTTTTCATAATTACATTTGCCTTGGTTTTTGGTTAACTGCCTATAGCGCTTACAGTGCTTTGATTTATAAATAGTGATGTGCAGGGGCGTGTTTTATTGGTCTCTTCGGTACATCTCCAGAATGTCTTCTGGTGAAGAGTCCAAAAAAATGAATCTGGACCACTTCTGGAGATATTCTATGGAAGATTAATAAAATAAAAATGCAATTTACCGCCGAATGTAGCAGATTTTTTGTTATGTTGGATGACATAAATGAAGTTTACAATGATTTTAAAGAAATTAAAATACGTCCGTACGTAGACATGACTGTAAAAGTGTGCTCTGTTCGTGACATTTTTCTTTGTTCTTTCCTCTAACTCAATTTTGCTAGACAAATCTGGCTTAAACACCCACTATTTGATTTTTAAGAATAATCTTAAACTGCACAAAAATTCGTCAATGTTTGTCTCGAATATGGTCAAAAAGGACGTCTTGTCTATCCAATTTTTTTTAAATGTACCAAACTGGATTATTTTTGTATAAAGCAAAGATATCTGAAAGTTCTCGAAATCATTTTTCTCTGGTGGTCCTTGAAGAAAATCTTCTGGTCCTAACTATTATTTCTATTTCAAAATTTCGATGGTCAAAACCTTCGGACCACCACTTTTCAAAAATTTTCATTGTATATGTATCAATATGCAAGTATACAATGTATACCAGACATTTCTCAGACTTTTTTTTTTTTCTTTTTTCTTTTTAATAAATCCGTTAGTTGTGTACTGATTGATACTTCAGTCTGGGAGAACAAGATTTATTTCAATATAAGTTGTTATAAGCTTTGAACAAACTTCCAGTAATTGCAAATACTCTTATTTCGGTGCTTTGTGTCTATTGTCTTAATGTAAGTTTTTTTTTCTCTTTTTTTGTGTGTCTCGTACCCGGATCTTTTGAGTTAATGTAATTGCAATTGATTTGTGCAGGTTGTTCTTATATTGTACTGTTACACCACTGTCCCAGCTTCGGGAAGGGTTGAGCCCTCACAAACATGTCCATGTACTGTTACACCACTGTCCCAGGTTAGGGGGCGGGTTGGGCCGGATCTCGCTAACATGTTTAACCCCGCCACATTCTGTATGTATGTGCCTGTCCCAAGTCAGGAGCCTGTAATTTAATGGTTGTCGTTTGTTGCTGTGTTACATATTTGTTTTTCGTTCATTTTTTTGTACATTAATCAGACCGTTAGTTTTCTCGTTTGAATTGTTTTACATTTGTGATTGCGGGGCCTTTTATATCTGACTATGCGGTATGGGCTTTGCTTATTGTTGAAGGCCGTACGGTGACCTATATCTGTTAATTGCTGTGTCATTTGGTATCTTGTCTCATTGGCAATCTTCGTTTTTATATCAACCCTGCCATATTCTTTGTGTGCCTATCCCAAGTCAGGAGCCTATAGTTTAGTGGTTGTCGTTGGTTCATGCCTCGACTCATATTTGATATTTTGTAAATTATTTTGTTATGTATAATTAGGCCGTTAGTTTTTTCGTTTGAATTGTTTCTCACACTTTTCACTTTGGGCCTTTTATAGACGACTTTTAATACAGTATGGGGTTTTGTCATTGTTGAAGGCCTTAATTACGGCTGCCTATAATTTCTTACATCCACTTCATATTTGAACTCCGGTGGATAGTTGCCTCATTAGCAATCATACATCTCTTCGTTTTTATATTATATACCTGACTTTTAAACTCGTGTTTTCCTGAACCGAGTCCTGAACAGGCATGACATATTTGTCACTGGGCGTTACTTGAAAAATTAGCAACAAACAATCAATCAATTTAAACTTGTGTTAAATAAGAAGAAAAACCATTTGATATTTATTCATTTATTGGGGTGGGGGACAGGAGGATTTCATATATGAATATGGTTGCCTGGTAAGAGCTGAAAAATAGACATAATTAGTGACAGATTAAAAAAGTTAATAGAGCCCTCTTCCCTTCCCCATCCTTCATCTATAAATTTAAACTGACCACCACGGAATAGCCCAACTTAGTGTTGAAAGTAGCGTTTAACAACAATCAATCAAAATCCCTTCCCTAGAATATCAAATAGTCCTCCCTGAACTGTTATTGTCCGTGTAGTTCTTATATTTATCCAGCTTATCGTCCTACAGGGATGTCCGACTAAGGCTGTCATACTATAAAAACGTTTATAACACAGCTCACATTCTAATATATCTGCATTCATAAATTTATTAATGTCATTTAGACTAAACGACGCCATGTTTTTTATGTGCCTCTGCCGTCTAAACTACCTATAAAAAAAGAAGAGGTGGAAGAGAGCCAGAAGATCTTCCCTATTCAAAAAAACAGAAGTGGACCTCTTCTGGCTCACTACCGAAGTACAAAAAAACACGGCCCAGTATTCTTCCATAAAAATTCAAATAGCATTCCAGGGGAATATAGAAACTTGTACCTGACATTTACCATTAAGTCCGATTATTTCATTCATCAAATAACTCTTTTCATTTGTAATTAACATAACATTAAATGAACATTCAGGAAGGACCAATTAACCAGCCAGCATCAGGTTAAACTCTGCTGAGTTCTAATGTCTCTTTACATGTTTTCTTTTTTTTCAGAATTTTTATACCCCAGCTTTGAAAAAGTGGGGGGAAACTGTTTAACCTCTGTCTGTCCATCTGTCCCTCCATCCGTCCATCCGTCAGTCTGTCCTTCAGTCTGTCCGTCCGTCCATCCCATAAATATTTTTCGTCACATCTTTCTCAGGAACTACATTACAATGATTTCTGAAATTTGGTTTGAGGGTTTATATAAGTCAGCTATACCGTGTGATGCATTTTCAGATTCATCACTCAACAACTTCCTGTTTACCGAACACTTACATCATTTTACACATGACATCCAAGTTGAAAATTTTCGTCACATTTTTCTCAGGAACTACATTACAAGGATTTCTGAAAGTTGGTTTCAGGGTTGATATAAGTCAGCTATACTGTGTGATGTGTTTTTAGATTCATCACTCAACAACTTCCTGTTTACCAAAACACTTACATCATTTTACACATGACATCCAAGTTGAAAATTTTCGTCACATTTTTCTCAGGAACTACATTACAAGGATTTCTAAAATTTTATTACTAGGTTTATATAAGTCAGCTTTACCGTGTGATGAGTTTTTAGATTCATCACCGAACACCTGTTTACTGTCAAGTATTTGGGCGAGGGTATCATCAGTGAGTAGTATCTCGCAGTTTCACTTGTTTTTTTCTCTCATTGCAGGTGATGCATTACCACAAAGACCTTGAAGTTATACACAGTGTTTTAATAGAAGAAGATTTCATATCACCTACTAAACCGTCTGCAAAGTAAGTACTTGTGATATAGCTGATTGATTGTTAGTTACTTGTGATATAAATCAAAGGAAGTATTTTTAGATATGATATAGCTGATTGATTGTTGGCTACTTGTGATATAAAAACAAAGGAAGTATTTTTAGACACAATATAGCTGATTGATTGTTGGCTACTTGTGATATAAATCAAAGGAAGTATTTTTAGATATGATATAGCTGATTGATTGTTGTTTACTTGTGATATAAAATCAAAAGAAGTATTTTTAGATATGATATAGCTGATTGATATTTTTCTTGTGATTTAAATCAAAGGAAGTAGGTTGCTATGCTGACATTCACCTCTTAAATACAATTTTCGATTATTTACTATTTTTGTGGACATTGATTACATAGGCGGATCCAGGGGGAGCCTGGGGGGATCAGGCCCCCCACCCCCCTTTTTGGAGGAAAAATTTGGTTGATTATATATGGAATCACTGAAGCATGACTGGAGCGGGCCCCCCTTAGATCAGTCAGCCAGCCCCCCTTTATAAAAAGTTCTGGATCGACCACTCTGATTAGACGTTTTGGTCTTCACTGGGTTGACTTCTTTTAGGTTTTGTCTTTACTTGTATAATGATGGGAGTATACGATCTTGGCTTTTGAATTGTATGACCTGCAAGATATAATTATGATTGACAGAAATACAGTATATGTATGATTTTCCTTTCAGGTTTGATGCCTTGCATGGAATGAGGAAAATTAAAGCAGTAAATGAATTTAGTTCCATGGGTATGTATTGCACTTTAACTGCCTTCTTTAGGTTATTATTAAAAACCTACTTGCATGAAATATTTTTTTGCAACTTTATAGGATTGCAGAAATATATTTTCACCAAATTATTTTATATGTGAATCCATGTTGTTTGCTAACGTTGTATTTGAAAACGTCACAATATTCAAACATCATGCCAAACCATTGCACTTCAGTGAAAGGACCACTGTTCTTCAAATTTTCAAAATATAAATTCATACAAAAGTATCCAATAAAGTTTTATTGTTGAATTTATTATGGGTTTGTCAACTCTGATGATGTGAATTTCTAAATCCTGCTCATGGTAAGGTGTGTTTGATTCCAGTCTTTATTGGACAAGGACTGCAGGTTTTGCTGTCAAAGGACTTGGTTGTTACGCAATATTACCGGTACTTTATATCAGGGCTTCCAAAACTGTTGTACTGTCCGGCACTTCACAATATCTTTCTTATTTAGATTCACCAGGTAAATTATATTTTTGACTTGTTGTGCCAAGCCTGAACTGGACATATAAGGTGGGTTTGCTATTTTAGAATAATTTAGAAAAAAATTGAAGTTTATGCGATTTTTTTACCTTGCATTATATTTCTATATTGACTAAAAGATATGATTCTTGCGTTCATCATTAACTAAGAATAAGTATATAACATTTATTGAATGACCGTAATATTTTTTTTTTGTCGATGAGGAAATAACCTAAAAAATGTGGTGCACACTCAGTCTTCATGCTGAACCACAGGCCCAGCAGCCCAGGCTTGTAAAATTCCTTTCGGGCCTGTAAAAATCATCCCTACAGGCCAACAGAATCTAACTAAAATTTTAAAAAAATTGAGCTCTGGGCCTGCAGATTTAAAAGTTTATCGTGAAGACTGCTGACACTGAATAAAACGAGATGCTGGTTATTTAAAAGTGTGCACAACATTTTTTATGTTATTTCTAATTGACAGAAAAAATATTACATTCATTCCTGATACTTTTGTTCTTAATTCAATTTTTAAAGAGAAAATCATGAAAAAAAGTTGACTTCACAGTCACATTACAAAATTATGTCTATGGGCTGAGAGACAAAATACTTTTAGCCAATCAGAAGACAAGGTTTCATCCAAAATAATTTTTTTGAAAATTGAGTGAAAATAAGAAATTTTGAAATTCATTTTAATAGATATAAGAAGATGTGGTATGAGGGCCAATGAGACAACTCTCCATCCAAGTCCGAATTTGTAAAAGTAAACCATTATAGGTCAAAGTACAGTCTTCAACACAGTGCTCATGTGACCCAAAATTTGTTCCTGTGAAAATAGTTCCAGTGGAACTAATATCACAGGAAATATGGTCTGGGAGAACTTTTTTAACAGATGATTTCTATATAATTTGTTCCATCTCTATAAAATAAGTTCCACACTTTACGTGGTGAAATAAGTACCGGGTTGGTGAAATTTGTTCCTTATCTGGTGAAATAAGTTCCGGGTTTATGAGATTTGTTCCTTATCTGGTGAAATAAGTTCTGGGTTTGGGAAATTTGTTTCTCACCTGATGAAATAAGTTCCTTGTCTGTGAAATATGTTCCACTGGTTAAACAAGTTATCTTATATACTGAGCATTTGTCATCAGTGAGTTTAAAGTTATCATTCAAGTGCATTATAAAAATAAGTATTATATCAATAATAAAAAAAGTAAAAAGTGTAAATCATCCAAATTGGATCCTGTGGAGTATAGCAAATGTTTAATTATATACTCCATAAAAAATATCAAAATGACACTTTTGAACCAGAAAAGAGTAGAATAAGTAAAATCAATCATTCAGAAAAAAAGTATAGTTAAAGATGAACATATGTACTTATTTGAAAAGGACAAAGTGACTGATCAGTTATATCAAAAGACATGTAGAAACAAAAGACACACTCTTTTGAAACTGTGCTATGACCTAAATACATGTATGACTAGAACACGCGGCCATGACAGTTAACAAAAACCAAGGAGGAATACCACATAAAACATAAATACAAATTAAAAACCAATTGTTCAGAGAACAATTGAAGGTCTTTCCACCCGAAAAGATCCATTTTGATACAAAAAAATTAAAATTCGGTTTAAAATGTTATTTCCAGCGTCAATGATAGCTTATAGTAAGCTGGTTTAAAAAAATATATGGTTTCTAGAAATTTTTTTTTAAATAAGGAAGATAATTTGTTACTTCTGGTTTGAAAAATGTCACTTCTGGTATTATTTGCTAGTTTACCTGACACTGATTCAAAAAATAAATGGTTCTATATACTTGTACATTACACAAGTACAAAAATAGCTACTTCTGGTTTACACAAGGTCACTTCCGGTTGACTTTTCCAAGGTCACATGGCTTGCAACCTTATGCATAAAGTCCCATGGCTTTATCATGTATACATATGAAGTAAAAGCAAAGGTCAAAATCTAGAACGTCAAATTTACCAATGACCTTGAGCTCAATTTGAAGGTCATAAATCAAGGTCCTAAAATCAAAAGACACTAGGTCTTTATTATATATGGTGAATGAGTTATATCACTATACGCGTAATTTTAAATCTAAGAGGGGAGAAAACTCCAATTTAATGTTAGCATACCTTTTCAACCAAAATGTATGTGTTACGACATGTCGCAACTAACAATTTAGTAAAAATATGTTGTTGATATTATATACGGTTTTTGAAAAGAAGTGTAATTAAGCCAAAATCTAAATTTAGAATATGACCTTGACCTCTGACCTTGACCTAATTTTCTTTTTTTTGGACCAAGGACCTCAAATCAAAAGACCTTAGGTCTTTATCACTTATGGTTTACCAGTTAGAAATGCATATCACTTATATCAAATGCATAAGGGGGAATAACTCTCATATGGAGTCTCCGGATAGCTTCAGTCAAAATAAAACATAACACCCTGATATAATGAGCATTTTGGAAAAATAAATTTGTTGCTTTCTTTTACGGTTGCGAAGGAGATCTCATAACAAGAAAAACAGTGTTTGGGGAGATAACTCTTACACAGAAAAGTGTTCGGTTCAACAGGGTCAATTTTAAAAGCCTATAGGCTGTATGATATTATATACAAAAAAAATAAGCGACATCTTTTGAAACAAAAATACAGCGCAAGAAAAAAATTTGGCGGAAAAAAAATAAAAAAATAATCAACACAAAACCAATAGGTCTTTCCATGGAAAAGTGGAGTGACCTAATTATGATACATTACCATCACTTTTATTTCTTATCTTCATCCTTTAGTTACAGTCATGCCTTCAATTGCAAATGTATTCCATGCAAGCACACTCAGTACAGCACTCAGCTTGCATTATAATTTAAATGTAACAAGAAAATATTTCGCTTGCAATTTGTTGCAAAGGTACTTATTTTCTGTGAAAATAGGTTTGAGGGAACTTATTCATTGATTTCTATGAAATATGTACACGTTCGTTTAAAACAAATATCACAGGAACTTATTTAACTTTTTAAAACTCTTAATATTAATTGGAACAAAATTCAGGGAGCTTTGATTTTTGTTCTGGAACTTATTTCACATTTGGTCATAAAATTAGTTCTGGAACAAATTTTACAGTGCTGGAACATATTTTCTGTGATTTAAAGTCCGGTGGAACACATTTCCTATGAAATTTGTTCTGGCGGAACAAATGTCACGCTGGAACAAATTTTTTGTTACACTCACTCCTAACAGCAAGCTATAAAGGGCCCTACAATAACTGGTGTAAAACCATTAAAACGGGAAAACCAACGGTCTAATCTATATAAAAAACAAGAAAGGAGAAACACTTATGAACCACATCAACAAATGAGAACACTGTGTAAGCGTAATTTCATTCCACCCTGTTTTTATTTCGGGTAACTGTTTTTCACTAGAGAATATTGGATGTAAATAGTGTAAAAGCGTTGATCTTGGTGTCATTGTTTTGTTTATATTAGGCCAATTTTTTGTTTACATAAATTAATAGGTTAAAATAAGAAAAGTTTGATTACTAATAGATATTGACATAGAAGATATGATTTTATATCGAAGTCTACCAAATCGCAAATGCACAGAAAAACTTCTGCAATCCAGTATACATGAATATTACAATTAGTGACAATTTAAAAGCTTATGATTTGATGGATTTGATTAGAAAAGTTATCAAAATTTAATTCGTAAATAAAGCATTATATTGTGTTATCATGTGTTCAAAGTGAGTACTAAAACACTTCATCATTGTATGAATCTTAAATACTAGTGTAATAAATCCCGGTTCAAAGTAACTAGTGCAATCATTCCAGGTACCCAATCACTTAGTGTTATAATTCCTGGTTCAAAATCACTTGTGTTATAATTCCTGGTTCAAAACAATTGTGTGAACATTTCGTGGATGAAAAACACTAGTTTACTTTGTCCGTTTTTTACATAAATCAGCTATGCAAGTTTTAGCTAATTCAAATACCCCCAAAAAATACCAAGCCCCATTTTTTATATATTTCCCCTTCAAAAAACTTTTTATAATCTTATCAAGAGTGGTGGATATTTTACACTGGACCCGGATTAAAAACCCTAGTGAATTTTTGTAGGTGGATAAAAAACACTAGGGATTTTCATCCTCCGGATAAAGTACACTGGCGGAATCAAACCACTGTTACACACTGAACATCAGATTCCTGACTCAAGACAGATGCAAACAAATGCAGCAGGTTGAAACGTTTTAATAGGAACCAACCCTCACCCTTATCTAATTCAATAGTGTAACATCACAACATTGGAAGACACACAATAAAATATCAATTGAAATGGCTTAACTCAATCAAGAGACATATTAACACAAGTGAACATACACTAATTTGTAACGTGTATTCCTTAATTTTATTTTATAGAATTTCCTGAGATGAAAACCATCAGTAAAGGAACTCTATCCTATCTGACGAGGAGGTTCGAAAGAGATTCTGTCACTAAACCAATGCTGGGATTAGAGGAATCAACAATCCATGTAACCAAGGTCAGAAACTTACAGTGTATATCAGGCTTAGATACCATTATATATTCTGACAAGGCCAACAACATTCCATGAATGGTTAATGAATTTGTTGTGGGATCCAAATATGAAATACTGTGGTTTCATTAATATTCGTTGGATACCAATTTTCGTGGATTTCGTGGGTACAGGGCAACCACGAATTTAAATGTTGAACGAATTACAAATTTTCTAAAGGAATGTATGCAGACTTTGCCAAAACAACGAAATTAAATATCCACGAAAATGCAAGTTTTCCTCAATCCACGAAAATTAAATGAATCCACAGTAGAATATATGAACAATATATGGTAACTCACTAGGGCTTATTCAGATGATACAGCAATTATACAAGTACAGTTATAATAAACAGTCAATGCAATCAATATACAATCAATACATGTGGTTAAAGGTAAATAGTCAGAATGTATCATTATGCAAACTACATCATTGGTTCATTGGTTCATGATGAGGTCCACATAAAACATGGACTGGTTTAGTAGTATACATTGGTGTTCACCACCACAAATTCAACAAAGATGACCAACAATAAAGTATGTAAATGGACATGAAAACTTAGACAGCAACAACTATTTGGTAGAATCGCATACTAATTTGGCCAAATTTTGTTGTTGTAAAGCTCATCATATATGGTAAGAATAGAGACATTTCATTTGATCTCCCAAAGGGCCAAGTGAGCTTTTCTCGTCACTTGGAGTCAGTCGTCCGTCGTTGTTGTCGTCAGTCGTTAACTTTTACAAAAATCTTCTCCTGAAACTACTGGGCCAAATTTAATAAAACTTGGCCACAATCATCATTGGGGTATCTAGTTTCAAAAATGTGTCCGATGACCTGGCCAACCAACCAAGATGGCCGCCATGGCTAAAAAAGAACATAGGGGTAAAATGCAGATTTTGGCTTATATCTCTGAAACTAAAGCATTTAGAGCAAATTTGACAATGGGTTAAAATGTTCATCAGGTTAAGATCTATCTGTTCTAAAATTTGCAGACATATCAGACAAGCCATTATTGGGCTACTGCCCCTGAATTAGTAATTTTAAGGAAATTTTGCAGTTTTTGTCTTGAATATTATTATAGATAGAGATAAACTGTAAACAGCAATAATGTTCAGCAAAGTAAGATCTACAAATAAGTCAACATGACCAAAATGGTCCATTGACCCCATAAGGCGTTATTGCCCTTTAAATTCAAATTTAACAATTTTTTGTAAATTTTTGTAATCTTTAACTTAAGTCTTTTCCTGAAACAACTGAGACAAATTTAACCAACTTAGCCACAATCACCATTAGGGTATCAAGTTTAAAAATGTGTCCGATGACTGAGCCCTGCCTGCCAACCAACATGGCAGACATGGCTAAAAATAGAACATAAGGGAAAAATGCAGTTTTTGACTTATATCTCTAAAACTAAACGAAGTATAATGGTTGCATTATTTCATGCATCAATTGTAAATAAAACTAGATTTGCCATTGCAAGCAATAGCGGATGTCACCCTTCCCCTAATTGCCTCTAAGCGGCAGCCATTTTGAAAATTTTAAACAGTGAATGGACATATATGCATGGCTTTACATCTTTCTGTAAATTTTCAGAACATTTGGAGCATTTTGAAATTTTTACACAATTTTGCTGTTTCCATGGCAACGACGGCCATTTTGGAAATTCCAAAGCCAGAAGTCTCATTTATACTTGCCAGTTAACATTTATATTAAGTTTCATAAAGTTTGGAGCATTTTGAAATTTTTGAACATTTTTGAATTTGTGCTATTTCCATGGTAACAGTGACCGATTCTAAAATCTTAAAGACAGATGCCACTTTGGCAGATGACCAGGAATATACCATGAAAGAATCATGGAATTTGACCTACCATTATAAGTGAGTAAATGCTACTTTTAAGAATTTCCCATAGGGGCTAATGGTAAATGTTTCTCCAGTTTCCATGGTAATGGCAGCCATTTTTGAACTTCTAAATATTGTCAACACATCTTGGCATGCCAAGCTACATTCCACTAAAGTTTCATCCAGTTGGGTCTCATAATGAAAGATTTAATGGATTTGCAATTTTTATTTTTTTTTCACATTTTTTCTGTTTCCATGGTAACGGCAGCCATTTTTTAGTTCCAAAGTTGCACTGCAACTCGAAAGTCAGGGTTCCTTGTTATAGTGCCCCATCATTTAGATTGGTTCCTTTGGCTCTGAGAAAACAGGCGGACAAAATTAGGTGGAAGAAAAATAATAATAACTAGATTTGCCATTGCAAGCAATAGCGGATGTCACCCTTCCCCCATTGCCGCTGAGTGGCAGCCATTTCGAAAATTTAAAACAGGGAAAGCACATATTTGCATGACTAAACATCTTTCAGTAAATTTTCAAAACATTTAGAGCATTTTTGATCATTTAAGATATTTTGACATTTTTGCAGTTTCCATAGCAACGTGGCCACTTTGGAAATTCCAAAGTCAAAAGTCTCATCTAGACTTGCCAGTAAACAATCACATTAAGTTTCATTAGATTTGGAGCATTTTGAAATTTTTTGACTGTTTTGCAGTTTCCATGGCAACGGTGGTCATTTTGGAAATTCCAAAGTCAAAAGTCTCATCTTACCTTGCCATTCAACAATTATATGAAGTTTCATGAATTTTGGAACATTTTGAAATTTTTGAAATTTTTGACATTTTTTTTCTCATCACTTGGCGTCCGTCGTCCGGCGTCCGGCGTCGTCCGTCGTCGTCCTTCGTCGTCCGTCGTCGGCGTTAACTTTTTACATTTTGAACTTCTTCTAGAGAACCACTGAATGGAATAAAACCAAACATGGCATGCATGTTCCTTATGAGGTGCTGACCAAGTGTTGTTACTTTGTAGCCGATCCATCATCCAAGATGGCCGCCAGCGGGGGACTTAGTTTAACATAGGACCCTATGGGAAATGCATACAAATGACTTCTTTTAGAGAACCACTGTATGTAATGAAACCAAACATGGCATGAATGTTCCTTATGAGGTGCTGACCATGTGTTGTTACTTTGTAGCCGATCCATCATCCAAGATGGCCGCCAGCAGGGGACTTAGTTTAACATAGGACCCTATGGGAAATACATACAAATGTCTTCTTTTAGAGAACCACTGAATGGTATGAAACCAAACATGGCATGAATGTTCCTTATGAGGTGCTGACCAAGTGTTGTTACTTTGTAGCCGATCCATCATCCAAGATGGCCGCCAGCTGGGGACTTAGTTTAACATAGGACCCTATGGGAAATACATAAAAATGTCTTCTTTTAGAGAACCACTGAATGGAATGGAACCAAACATGGCATGAATGTTCCTTATGAGATGCTGACCAAGTGTTGTTACTTTGCAGTCGGTCCATCATCCAAGATGGCCGCCAGCAGGGGACTTAGTTTAACATAGGACCCTATGGGAAATACATACAAATGTCTTCTTTTAGAGAACCACTGAATGGAATGAAACCAAACATGGCATGAATGTTCCTTATGAGGTGCTGACCAAGTGTTGTTACTTTGTAGCCGATCCATCATCCAAAATGGCCGCCAGCGGGGGACTTAGTTTAACATAAGACCCTATGGGAAATACATACAAATGTCTTCTTTTAGAGAACCACTGAATGGAATGAAACCAAACATGGCATGAATGTTCCTTATGAGATGCTGACCAAGTGTTGTTACTTTGTAGCCGATCCATCATCCAAGATGGCCTCCAGCGGGGGACTTAGTTAAACATAGGACCGTATGGGAAATACATAAAAATGACTTCTTTTAGAGAACGAATAAATGGAATGGAACCATACATAGCATGAATGTTCCTTATGAGATGTTGACCAAGTGTTGTTACTTTGCAGTCAGTCCATCATCCAAGATGGCCGCCAGCGGGGGACTTAGTTTAACATAGGACCCTATAGGAAATACATACAAATGTCTTCTTTTAGAGAACCACTGAATGGAATGAAACAAAACATGGCATGAATGTTCCTTATAAGGTGCTGACCAAGTGTTGTAACTTTGCAGTCGGTTCATCATCCAGGATGGCCGACAGCGGGGGACTTAGTTTAACATTGGACCCTATGGGAAATACATACAAATGTCTTCTCTTAGAGAACCAGTGAACTGAATGAAACCAAACATGGCATGAATGTTCCTTATAAGGTGCTGACCAAGTGTTGTTACTTTGCAGCCAATCCATCATCCAAGATGGCTGCCAGTGGGTGACTTAGTTTAACATAGGACCCTACGGGAAATACATACAAAATGTCTTCTTTTAGAGAACCTCTGAATGGAATAGAACCAAACATGGCATGAATGTTCCTTATGAGGTATTGACCAAGTGTTGTTTCTTTGCAGCCGATCCATCATCCAAGATGGCCGCCAGTGGGGGACTTAGTTTAACATAGGACCCTATGGGAAATACATACAAATGTCTTCTTTTAGAGAACCACTGAATGGAATGAAACCAAACATGGCATGAATGTTCCTAATGAGGTGCTGACCAAGTGTTGTTACTTTGCAGTCAGTCCATCATCCAAGATGGCCGACAGCGGGGGACTTAGTTTAACATAGGACCCTATGGGAAATACATACAATTGTCTTCTTTTAGAGAACCAGTGAATGGAATGGAACCAAACATGGCATGAATGTTCCTTATGAGGTGCTGACCAAGTGTTGTTACTTTGCAGTCGATCCATCGTCCAAGATGGCCGCTAGGGGGGTGGGGGGTGGGCTTAGTTTAACATAGGACCCTATGGGAAATACATACAAATGTCTTCTTTTAGAGTACCACTGAATGGAATGAAACCAAACATGGCATGAATGTTCCTTATGAAGTGCTGACCAAGTGTGGCTACTTTGTTGCTGATTTACTGTTCAAGATGGCCACCAGGATATTTTATTAAATAACGGGACCAATATTAATCCAAATTTGGCCTCAATCATTATTTGGGTATCTGTTATGATTTTTATCTATCTTTACATGATTTCTAAGACCAAAGTAGAGTCAGGTGAGCGACACAGGCTCTTGAGAGCCTCTAGTTTATGGTTCCTTTGGTAACAGAGACCATTCCCAAAATGTCATGACAGATGCCACATTGGAACACGGGAGGGAATATACCATCAAAGTTTCAATCGATTTGACCTACCATTTTAAGAAAGTAAATGCTACTTTTAGGTTTTTGGAGGACTTTGACCTGTTTTGCATTGTTTCCATGGTAACGGCAGACATTTTAGAAATTCCAACGCCAAATTCCACATCTACCAATGTTGCTCATCGTTACTGTGAAGTTTCATTAAATTTGGAGCATTTTGATATTTTTGAAATTTTTGGTTTAGTTTCCATGGCAACAAAGTAGTTCCAATGATTGCCAAAATCATCCAAAACCAGTATATAGTGGGCACCTACATTGTATTAAAAGTTTAAGCAATCTCAAATAATTCAACGAACTCCAAAATTATATTTTTTCATCATTTTTCAATTTCCATGGTAACGGCAGCCATTTTTTAGTTCCAAAGTTGTACTGCAACTCGAAAGTCAGGGTTCCTTGTTATAGTGAACAATCATTCAGATTGGTTCCTTTGGCTCTGAGAAAGCGGGCGGACAAAATTAGGTGGAAGAAAAATAATAATAATAATAATAATAGGGAAAAAGAAACAGAGGAAAAGCAATATGTCACCCGACATTGTCGATCGGGTGACATAATAATAGGGAAAAAGAAACAGAGGAAAAGCAATATGTCACCCGACATTGTCGATCGGGTGACATAAATATCAGGTGAGCGACACAGGCTCCTTAAAAAATATACTTGATCTGAACATGAATGAAATATTTGCCCCTGGACATTAGGCTACAAACAAAATCAATCAACCTACATCAGTTTTGGTTGATGCGGTCAAATATGGTCAGTTTTGGTTGATGTGGTCAAATTATTTTGTTATATGACTCGGTCTGAGATATCAAAACTACTGAAATTTGTTTACAATTCAAATTAAAAAAAGAGGACATGCTGGCACTCTAAATTGATGCAAACAAAATTTTGTAGTCATTGTGTTCCAATATTGCTATTATTTGTATTATACAATCCATCCTTACATGAAAATATTACTGATTAACTATGCAACTATAAGATTTACATAATAAAGTGCAAATATGGTCTGGTTTGGTTGATGCGGACAAATAATTTTGTTATACAAGTCAGTCTGAGGTATGAAACTACTGATATTTGTTTACGATTCAATATTTTGAATGAAAAGAGGACATGCAGGCACTCTAAATTGATGCGAACATAATTTTGTAGTCATTGCGTTCCAAAATTGCCATCATTTGTATAATACAATCCATCCTGACATAAAAATATTACTGATTTACTATGCGACTTTACGATTTACATTATAAAGTGCAAATATGGTCAGTTTTGGTTGATGCGGACAAATAATTTTGTTATACGAGTCAGTCAAGGTATGAAAACTACTGAAATTTGTTTACGATTCAATATTTTGAATAAAAAGAGGACATGCTGGCACTCTAAATTGATGCGAACAAAATTTTGTAGTCATTGTGTTCCAATATTGCTGTCATTTGTATTATACAGTCCAATGAGTCCATCCTGACAAAAATATAACTGATTTACTATGCGGCTATATCGATTTACTTGATAAAGTGCAAATATGGTCAGTTTTGGTTAATGAGATCAAGTAATTTTGTTTTACGAGTCATCCTGAGTCAGCCAGTTTGAGATGTGAAAACTGTTGGATTTTGGTGATGATTAGATTATTTGAATAAAAGAAGGACATGCTTCAACTATTTACTTGTGAAGAAAAAGATATTTACTATGATTAATTTCCAATTAATTAAAGAGGTGTAATTGCATTATTAATTAACTGTAATTGTCAATATGTCAATCCAAAATGACCAGTTGGTCATTTAATTTTGATGTACCTTATCATTTGATATTTAAGGTCAGTGTATCCAGGATACAATAACAATCTGCGTTAACGTGCGTTTACTTTTGCCGAAAATAGAAGATGCGCCTTTTTTCACGATAACGCGGAAGTAAACGCAAAAGTAAACGCTCGTTTACTCTTTACAAAATTGGAAGACTCACCGTTTTTGCATTAACGCGGAGGTAAACGCGAAAGTAAACGCCTGTTTACTTTTTATGTCTACTGAAATTTCAGAGTTAACACACAGTTAACGCGGCGTTGACATGAAGTGACAAATTTAACCAACTTAGCCACAATCATCATAAGGGTATCTAGTTTAAAAAATGTGTCCCATGACCCTGCCTGCCAACCAACATGGCAGACATGGCTAAAAATAGAACATAGGGGTAAAATGCAGTTTTTGGCTTATATCTTTGAAACTTAAGCAAAATTATAATGGTTGCATCATTTCATGCATCAATTGTAAATAAAAATATCAGGTGAGCGACACAGGCTCCTTGGAGCCTCTAGTTACAAGTAGCAATAATAAACTCTGGACTTATCTTGTCAAAGTGTATTTGTTCCGCCTAACAGATGTTCTCTTGAAGAAACTTTGTTATAAACAATGTCACAATGTTTGTTCCTGTTGAAACTAATATTCTATACCATTTATTCAGTAAGAATCCATTTATTGTAATAATTATTACAGTAGAAATAATATTCCAGAATACTTGTTCTTATTGTGAAATTATATTATGAAGGAACTTAAATTCGTGACAATCTCTTGGTCTATGAACTTCTTACAACCTACCTAGTTGATATATTGTATAGTTTGGTTTTGTTGTGAATATGCATGTAATATTTGCCCCTTGACTTTAGCAACAATCATTTATTTTTTAGATGACAAGACAAACTCCAATACTTGACAGGGCTAAAGCTTGGCAATACATAAAAGGGAATATAACCTGTATGTGGACCCAGCCGGAAAATGGTAAATATTATAATGACAGAAATAGTAACGAATCTCTTAAAAACAATGATTATTGATGCCCAAAGATCAGAAACTCAGTATTGGCATTATTTGACCACAGCTTTAATACAAATTACACATTTATTTATAAACACATATATCTAGATAAACAGTTAAGATATATATATATATAGTACGTGAATAGATAATTAAATGAATGTAGTCACCTTTCATTTTTGCAAACTACAAAAAGAAAACTAGATAACTAAATATTTATGATAAACAATAAGCATCCAATTACTGTAAATGAATCCTGGGATACAGAGACCCAAAATGTCAAATGTTTCAGATGCTAAATAAAATATGACGCAAAATGACGCATATTTAAAGGAAACACATCGAAACGTGCCCATAACTAAATACAATATGTTCATATAAATGGGTGTATTCAAGCATTGATCTACGTAATTGAAATGAAATATACAAAAATCTCTTAACTCTTGAAACAGATACATGATTAATTTGCAATACAAATTCTATTTTACCTTACTGATGAACAATGAGAGTTAACAAATTTTAAGGTATTACTGATCCTTTATGGAAGCCTTTGCTTTTAGGTTAAGCATTATTATAACATTGATGAACTGAAACAAGAATCAAATAGTTATGAAAATGATACCAAAATGCTGGCATATATTTGTAGCATTATATTTATTAATTTGTATTGCTAATTTTGTTTGAATTTATAAAAATATCACAAAACATTCCATCTTACCATTGTTCTTTTTTAATTTTCAGGTCGTACATTGGAAGCACATACTTGTTTCTTTAAGATAGTGGATGTACTAAAATCGATACCTGAAGATGAACTTGTGAAGCTTGCTGACTACTATTTCATAAAACTTAAACCAATGTAAGTCAGGTTCCTGTTCTAAGTTTTATTGTTTAAATGATTTACAAAAGTTATATGCTAGATAACTTATTTCTGCGAGTGATTTATTTCACGTTTAGAAAAACCATGCGAATATAAATCGTGGCAAATATTTTTGACTTGTATCTTTTCTTACTAAACTACATCAATTTAATTAGAAAATCGTGAAAATAATTAGCCACGAAGTGGACTAGAAAGGATAAGATGCGAAATAAAGCATCCACGAAAATAAGTTGGTTTACAGTAATCAAGGTTTTCTTTTAGCTTTACTTCAAAATCTTGATGTTGAATTGGAGACATGAAGCTCATTGGCTGAGGGGTGTTAGTATGTCATCTACAGTGATCACTAGCATGTCATCACTATTGTTTATCATGGCAAAGTGTGTTCGACTTCGATCTTAATTGACAAGAATTTCAGGTTTTTCTGCATTAGGTCTGATTTATCCAATTTTCTCCACCAACAAAAACAGGCTGCCATGATATTACCAAGAGTTCTAAAACACCAGGGCATTCATTACAGTTTAATTTTACAGTGTTTATTTTTATGAAAATTACTGCTAAGTTTTTTTTACGGGATCAATTCAAATATGTAATAAACAATATATCTTCATGTGCTATGTTTGAAAATGAACAGTTTTTTATACCCCTGTCAAAATTTTGACTGGACGTAAGCATGTCGCACCATAACTTGAGAACAACTTATCCAAATTTCATGAAACTTATATAGTTGTTTCTTATGATGGTCAAACGATCTGTATACTTGTTGGTGAAAATTAGATTAAAACTTTTTGAGTTACGGTACTTTGTAACTAAAACAGGGGTGTGTTTTTTTCACATGTCGCGCCGTATCTCAAAAACGATTTATGATTATTGCTTTAACTTTACACACTTCTTAGTTATATTAATCGTAAGATCTGTATACTTTTTGGAGTTGATTCAAAATTTTATTTTAAGAGTTGTTGAGTTTTTTTGTAAAAAAAAAGGGGGGGTTCACATGTCGCTCCATATCTCCGAAACTATTTATGATTATTGCATAAAACTTCATCACTTGTTAGTTATATTAATCTGAAGATCTGTATTCTTTTTCATGATGATTTTTTATTTTTTTTTTGAGTTATTATAAATTTTAGATTTTACGTTTCCTAGTTTTGTGGTTCTATTCATTACAAAAAGGGGAATTTCCAGTTTTTGAACAATTACTCAAAAATGCTTACAGCAGTTTTCATGAAACTTTAATTAATTGTTTATATCTGTTGTTGTAAGCTCCCATTCAACTCTTATATAAATTTTAGATTTAAGTTTTCGAGTTATGAAATTTTATTCATAAAAGAGGGGTGATTTTCAAGTTTTCGAACAATATCCTGGAGTGCTTTAAGCAGTTTTCTTTAAATTTTGGTGACTGATTTATATCTATTAAGATCACATACCTTTAGTTTTTTTATAAATTTCTGATATGACATTGAGAAGTTATTAAACTTTATTCTTTGAAAATGCGACGGGCGTATCATGCGCTCATGGCACAGCTGTTTATTTAGTTATTAACTCAAAAGTTTTGTTTTTTACATTCAATTCTTTATGAAATGTTTCATATTAACAACTTTTTTTTTAACATTTCTAACCTTAATGAAATACTTTATTATTTCAAAGGATATACACAAGCAATTTGTTTTTTTTATTTGAAAACTATTTGGAATATCTTCTTAAGATAAGTAAGCTCTAAATTTGTTTAAAAATTCTTTGGAAATAATACATACTTAATAAATTTGCAAGATTTTAGCAAAAAAATGCATTTTTTGCGGTATATTTATCTTATAAAAAATTCATCTGACTAAAGATTTTTTCATAAATAATTTGTACAGATAATCTTAGTACATTTTCCCAATATGTCACATTTTGATGTCACAAAACACATCATCTTAAGTTAGTAACTTTATTTCCTCCCATGTAAATGTATTGTATGCCCTAAAGTCAAGTCATTCTTATGTACTGTGAATAGTTTTAAAGAAAAAAAACTAATGGCTATTTACATAATCATAAACCCATTTAAGGCTGACACTAATAAGTGTCCTTACAAACAAAAGCATACGATCAAATATCTTAATTGCCTTATTTAAAGCAATCTTTTTTTTTTAGTCGTAGCAGGTATGTAGGAGCAATGAACATCATGTTGGATGCCTTTGGAGTCATCTATACAAACTTCAGTGAGAACCTCCTGGCAGATTATATTCTAAAGAGTCCTGATCCTAAGCCTACACTTATCTTAAGGCTGCTGACACACATTGTAGGAAAAGACAATCCACCACATGATGTATGTATTGTACTCGCACAAAGTTAATGATACATTGAAACACATAAGCCTACACTTATCTTAAGGCTACTGACACACATGGTAGGAAAAGACAACCCACCATATGATTTATGTATTGTACTCACACAAAGTTAATGATACATTGAAACACCTAAGCCTACACTTATCTTAAGGCTGCTTACTCCCATTGTTGGGTAGGCAATCCACCACACGATGTATGTATTGTACTTACACAAAGTTAATGATACAATGAAACACCTAAGCCTACACTTATCTTAAGGCTGCTTACTCCCATTGTAGGGTAGGCAATCCACCACACGATGTATGTATTGTACTCACACAAAGTTAATAATAATTTTGTGTGTTACTTTTGAATTTTGTGTTGATTGCAGATGTTCGATATTCTCTGATAAGTTATTCCCAACTTTTTAGACTATGGTTGATTTAAAGCCTGAAATATTTTATAGACACCTGTCTATAAACATATTTACCTTTTCGGTATTTAGCCATTATTATGTCTCAGAATGATCCTAGATCTATGACTGTCTCCAAATAGCCTTCTGAAGTCATGCACCAATACTTTTTGATAATGACGTCAAATGTGTTTTATTGTGATGCTATATTTTGCGTGAACTTGTGTGGTTTTAAGTAATGGCAGACAAATTTGTATACAAATCAAAATATGTCTGCTGTTTAGGATTGTAGATTGACCTCTAGATATTTTTGTTTAAAGTCAAACCTCTTTATGTTGAAGTGAAAGGGACCAGAAAAAAGTATTCGACATATCCAAGGTTTGTCTCATCAGGGGTTGAGTGTATCATTATAAATTTGGAGTGAATGAAATACGGCTTGAGATTTGTATAAATTTTTAATTTGAAAAGTGTGCCTTTTTGATGTGACACATTATGAGCGTGTATTCAATTTGAAACTTCAAGACATGGGGTCAATTTACATTAACTTTATATCAACAGGACTATAAAATTTACTTGACTTAACCAAATATTCAAATAAATCAAGTCCAACTCATCAGAGGTAAATATTCATTATTCAAACTGGAATTTTACCAGGACCGAGAAATTACTTCGACTTATCTGAGTTTTTGACACAACCTAGTTGGACACAATGATATTCGACTGTATTTGGTTGACCCACTGTCTCAGTGACATATACCCAGCATATCATCTTATTTATTTTAAGAAAGTATACACTGTAGGTTGACTCTTTCATATTTCAGAATATGATAGCTGCATTGGAAGACCTTGTATTTAACAAAGATAACCATCCAGAAGAGATGTACAAAGAGGATCTCCATGAAAGGGTCTTACTCTGTCTGGGTTCAGTGTCTCACAAGTTATCAAAAGCTGGACGGGTAGAGGAGGCTATCAAAATAACTGTACAAGTTCATCAATGGCTTGGAATACATGGTAATGAATTCAGAACTTGATTTGTGTTACAACAATCTGTGTATAAATTTGTGTTTTCTAAATACAAGAAAGGAAGAGCTGTTCCATTTAAACATACATGGGATCCAGGGAAGGCTTTTCCAAATCTCAACTATTGGTGGTTGTCATCTATGTTTTTGCATTGTGGAAATGCCAGTGAAATTTTAATTTGCCTCTATAGGTGTTTACCCCATTTTAAAGTGCCTTCCATGGGTCCCATGTCTGTTTTAATGGAACAGCCCTAAGGAAATATGCTTTCTTGTATTTAGAAAACACAAATTTATACACAGATTGTCATAACAGCCCTAAGTTCTCTTTGTCAAGTTCATCCCTTATTCAGAAGAAATCTTTCCTAAAAAATGAAGTGATAGGGTTTAATTTATTAGCATTAGCTTAATCTTTAAGAAATGCTTTAATAGCTATAAAATCCGGAGATTGTACCTCCATTTAGAAACCCTATTATACAGTGGTAAGAATACAGATTGGTTAGCAGACTGGCAGTAGACAATTTTTGTGTAAATTACCCAATTTAGTCTAGAACTTACTGTTGCAATTTGTTTCCTTGTGCAAATGATATGAACAATTTCAGTCCTAATGTACTACAAATGTCTGAAAGTTGAACGAATGGATCACAAAAATGCATGAGATTCTCATTCCAATGAGAAAATCATTTAAGCAGAATTCAGGAATTATTGCAAGTATTTTTTAATATGATCTTTGATGAAATTGTGGTATAAATTATTGCGATTTCAAAAAAATCGGCATACAGATATATGTTTCTGATATCAGAATGTGAGTTCTTATTAACATTAGCGAAAACCTCACAAGTTTCTGTATTTCCATTACATTATAATTCAGATTTTAACATGTATATTTTATATTTTGTTAGATCCATTTAAATTCAGAAAGAAAAGAGAAACTCAGAGTGAACAAGAACAAATTGATTACGATCATTGGAGAGTGATTCTGTTAGAAACACTAGGAAATGCCAGAATGGACTTCTCTTTTGAATATATTGTTTCACATATCAACTCGACTAACTCAGCTTGGATCAAAAGAGCTGGAGTTCATGCTCTAAGGAAATATGAACATGAAATGGTGAGTTGTTTGTAATGAGACATCAAGCAAAAAAAACATGTTTACCTATATACAAAACCAAGCATATTACCTATTTGCACTATTTCTTATCCCATTTGATTGCCTGACTGAAATAGAAATAATGTATTTTAATATTTATTGACATACAGGCTGTTACATAAACACATACACTGGACCCAGGGAAGCCTAGGCACTTTGAAATCTCCCCTATGGGTGGGTGTTGAGTACAGTTAAAATTTAAGTAACATTATAATTTTCTTCTGTATTTGGTTACACCCTTTTGAAAGTGCTGTTCCTTGGTGGTAAATAAGTTAAAATGGAAAAGCCCTAAGTCATAAGGTCTTAAAAGGAGCACCAGCTGTATATTAGACAAAAAAATAAAATATGATTCTTTTTGTTTCAAGTGTTAATAAAAGCAGAACTTTGAAGCAATATTTCATTGTAGGCAGATCCTTAGGCCCTAATTATGCCCCCGCTGTAGCGGAGGGGGCATTGAGTTTTACCCTTGTCCGTCCATACGTCCCAAATTTAGTTTCCGTTCTCTAACTTTAGTTTGCATTGACCAAATATTATGAAACTTATACACAATGCTTATTACCACAAAACACAGGTCAACTATGAATTTTGGTGGTGTCACTTTTACCATTCTAGAGTTATGCTTCTTTACAAATGAACAAATTGCTGAATTTTTGATTTCCGTTCTCTAACTTTAGTTTGTCTCAACCAAATGATATGAAACTTACATCCAATGCTCATTACCACAAAACATAGATCTAGTTTGAATTTTGGTGGGGTCACTTTTACCGTTCATTTTTAAAAATAAATTAAAAAAGCATTGCTAATGTATTATTGACTTGCAAGTGAATAATTTGACCTCATGTGAATCCATATTCATGTACTTCAATTAAACCCCTTAGCTTGAGATGGGTTATGCAATGTACTGGGGGTGTTCAGCTATTAAAAGAAAAAGAATGTCAACATTGAAAGTGCAACAAGGATGAATCATTTCGTTGACTGATTTGATCCACAAAAAATCATTTTTTCTCGGGGGAAAAATGATGATCAACATATTTTTTTAACCTACAACATGAAATCAAACAGACCCAGAAAAATTCAATTGCATTAGGTTGCTCTCTATTTCTTTTTGTACTTGTGTTTATATTTGGTTGTATGACTGGCGGCAGTCTTTGGAGGTCATCTCAATGGTTTGTTAGACAATGTCCGGATTCAAATTACATGAAATTCTGATATATATTAAGTGAGTCCATGCATTTATAATTGTTTATTTTAGACTTTGAAATTTCAATACATGTTTTAGTATGTAAAAAATCAAATATGAGAATCTGAATCAAATCGTTGAATATGAATTTGACAGTTAATGCCCCCATAATATTGTGATAATATTAATGAATCTTTGTCATTAAAAAATTATTTTTCAGGCTGCTGATGAGATGTATAAAACTGCCATGTATGATGAAGATGAAAATGTCCGTTACGAAGCTTTACTGCAGTATCAAGCACATCCTCAAGCTAGGGTTATTGCACCTCTTAATGCGTAAGTAATTAGAACTAGAAATAAGGCCTTGGAAAGTAAGTAAGTTGCTCATTGAAATTTTAATATCAAATCACTTGCCTCCCACTTGTCAAATAATTTCTTGCATAGATATTTATATTTACTAAATTTCAGTGATTTTATTCTGTTTGATGTTTCCAGGCAAGAAAGTGTTAATGGAACTGGTATTATTGATCCCTATGAGTCTGGAATCATGGAAATGGCATCTCAACTCAGAGAAAAACGAGACTTGGGAAGTTTTCTAAAAAAGTTTCCAAAGTTGAACTTTAAACTCGAGGCTCCAAGTGTTGATTGGAGAAAAATGTTAGGATCTGAGTCTGTAGGTGCTGCCTTCGGTATCATCATGTATAATATGCTGGATCTGAAAATTGGTAAGTTGATTCTTCCTAGAAATATAACAGTTACACTTCAAAGTTTTAAGACCTCTGATATTGCAGGGATCACATACGCTTAAGTACTTGAAATTAAGAGCACAATCTGTCAAGAAAAATAAATACTGTTCAAATCAAGGAAGCAAGTGACTACTTATTATTGAAAATTTCTAGATTTTATATTTTTTAGAGTGCATGTTAGAATTTAAGAACAACAAATCAATTTAATGATATGACTTAGATTCAACATTAAACCTAAAATATAGGACTATGAGTGAACGTAATATATTTTCAATGTTTCAAAGCATATGAATACGTGGTTGTCTTCTATGAAAAAGTAAGGTTGTAGTTCAGCTATAATATGTGTATTTACTAAACATCTGTGTAATATTTTGTAAACATCAATGTAATATTTTTTTTGTAGAACCTCTAAGTGGTCATTTGAGAATACATGTTCATGATGAGGCCTATGCCAGAGTGCTTCTTGGTATTTTGGATACAACCTTGGATTTTTTTGTAGCCAGACTTTGTTTTAAAGGAGGCACCCGGTACAATCTGAATATTCTACAAGTATGTTAATTGAAATTTAGATGCCAATAATAAAAGGCACTTTGAAGACTCTACTTTGTAGTGACTAATGCATACAAGGGATTTGCTTCTGTCTATGTTTAACCCCACTCTCAGCACACTATTTTAAATCGTGGTGGCCAGGATTTGATTAGGATTCACTTGAAAGTTTTTCTGTCGAAGGTGGTGATTCTCTCTAGGTATTCTGGCTACCTTTGTCGTTATAAAAACTGGACACCACGATTTAAGATAATGTGCTGAGAGTCTGGTTTAACACCAACATAAATCAATCAATCATGAGTTGATATAGTTATAATTGACAGTCACTTGTTTTTGTTTCTTTATAAACTTTTATTACTCAAAAACAACTTATTTTAAGTACACAATTTTTTCACAGAGTTTAGTTTGATTATAATATTGTTTGAATTCATTAATATTTTCCACTTGTATAACATGTTTTGGAAATAGTTCCCAAACAAGATTTCAAGGAGGCTGCAACATCAGAAGAATACATCCTTAAATAAAAACACATTATGAAACCAAATGGACTTATTCAGATATGCAATTTCTATTGTACATTATTTTGTGCATCCTTGTTATTGTTTTGTCCAAATTAAAATGTTCAGAACATGAATGGTATCACATAATTTATTATATATTGGTGTTAGATTGTCTAGGAAATTGTAATTGCTGTTTGCTTTCAGGAAAATGACATGAAGAAGATTGTTCAATTGGCCACACAGTTTGACAAGAAAGTGAAAGAGATTGTTGAGGGCATTGCAACAGGAGTGCAGATGTTTAAAGACCTGATTGGTGGTCAAATAAGCATGAAAGAAATTGTTAATGAATTCATAGATGCCTTGAAGGAGTTGCCGGTCAAGGTAAGTTGATTTCTGACAAACATTGTTCCTATTGAATTTTGTTTTTTCGTGTTTGACTAATAAGGACTGGAAAATGATAATGTTTAAATTGAGGTCTTCTTAATCTTAAATGTATTCTATAACTAAACAAAAACAAAATAATTCAAATTTTAAAAGGAACAATGCTAAAAAATTTGTCAGAAATCAACTTTTTATGTTTGAACATAACCTCCAGGATAAAGTCCAATAATATTTACAAATAATATAAAAAATAATATAATCAACTTTTTATGATTAAATTTTGAACAGATTGAAAATATATCATTGATATTTAACACAAGCAGTTTTGTGAGGTGAAACATGTATTTTCATCTTTAAGAAGATATTTTTTTTTTACTCAGATGAATTAATCAAATAGTAATGGATTTTTGTTAGAAGAAATTTAAAGGTCCCAGTTAATAAATTACACAGAGAACAATAGCTATTGTTTCTCTTCAATGGAACAATATAGAACTGATGGAAAAGTTTCATTTGGTTGGCAATAATTATTGTATTTGTTGATTCCTAATGTGGTCTTATGATTTTCTTGATTTTTAAATCAGGTTAAAGATCTTAGAAACAAAGCAGCCAATGTGATGAAAATGTTAGGACAGCTTGATGAGGAAGAGTTACCTCCCTTTTTAAGACCACTCAGAAATCTGATTGTTAAAGTAACAACAGTCTTTAATGATGTTAAAACAGACATCATGAACTTTTATAATGTAAGTTGCTATTTAAGAAAACTGATGAATACTTAACATTCTCAAGCATAAATTTACTTATGTAAGCATTTATCAAAGAATAAAAATCTTTCAGTTAGCATGACACTTGACCTGATAAGATTTCCATATGTAAAGAAGATACCAATCAGAAACCTAATAAAATTAAGAAAGAGAGTATATGCCCTGATAAATATAAAAAGCATAAAACAAAACAATTTTCCAAAAAGCATTGTACAGAAACAAGACTGAGAGCAGAAGTAATATCTAGATGAAAAAAATAATTTATCTATCTTTGTAACGTTGATTTTTTAATCCCCACCTATGATAGTGAGGGGCATTATGTTTAATGACTTTGCATGAAGTTATCGTCTCTCAACTTTAAAAGTAGTACACATTTCTTTATCATGTGAACTTTTATTAGCTCAACTGACCCTTTAGTGAGCTTTTCTCATCACTGGACGTCCGGCGTCCGGCTTCCGTGGTCCATCGTTGTCCGTTAACTTTTACAAAAATCTTCTCCTGTGAAACTACTGGGCCAAATTTAACCAAACTTGGCCACAATCATCATTGGGGTATCTAGTTTAAAAAACCAACAATGATGGCCGCCATGGCTAAAAATAGAACATAGGGGTAAAATGTAGATTTTGGCTTATATCTCTGAAACCAAAGCATTAAGAGCAAATATGACATTGGGTAAAATTGTTTATCAGGTCAAGATCTATCTGCCCTGAAATTTTCAGACAAATCGGAAAACCTGTTTTTGAGTTGCTGCCCCTGAATTGGTAATTTTAAGGAAATTTTGCAGTTTTGGTTATTATCTTGAATATTATTGTAGATAAAGATAAACTGTAAACAGCAATAATGTTCAGCAAAGTAAGATCTACAAACAAGTCAACATGACCAAAATGTTCAATTGACCCCTTAAGGAGTTATTGTCCTTTATAGTAAATTTTTAACAAATTTTTATACGACCGCAAAAAATATTTGCAGTCGTATATTGGTATGATGTTGGCGTCGTCGTCGTCGTCATTGTCGTTGTCGTCGTCGTCCGGCGTCGTCCTGCGTTGTCCGAAGACACATTGGTTTTCGCACTCTAACTTTAGTTTAAGTGAATGGATTTCTATGAAATTTTACCATAAGGTTCAATACCACAAAAGGAAGGTTGGGATTGATTTTGGGGGTTATGGTACCAACAGTTAAGGAATTAGGGGCCAAAAAGGGGCCAAAAATAAGCATTTTTGTAGCTTCCAGACATAACTTGTGTGTTAGTGTATGGATCTCTCTGACATTGTACCACAAGGTTCCATATCACACAGGGAATGCTGGGATTGATTTTGGGGGTAATTGCCTCAAAATATTAGGAATTAGGGGCCAAAAAAGGGGCAAAAAACAAGCATTTTTCTAGTTTCATGACAATAACTTGTGTGTAAGTGAATGGATCTTTCTGAAATTGTACTACAAGGTTCCATATCACAAAGGGAAAGCTGGAATTGAGTTTGGGGGTAATTGCCCAAAACGTTTAGGAATAAGGGGCCAAAAAGGGGCCAACAATAAGCATTTTTCTAGTTTCCAGACAATAACTTGTGTTCAAGTGTATGGATCTCTCTGAAATTGTACCACAAGGTTCCATATCACACAGGGAATGCTGGGATTGATTTTGGGGGTAATTGCCTCAAAATATTAGGAATAAGGGGCCAAAAAAGGGGCAAAAAACAAGCATTTTTCTAGTTTCATGATAATAACTTGTGTGTAAGTGTATGGATCTTTCTGAAATTGTACTACAACTTCCATATCACAAAGGGAAAGCTGGAATTGAGTTTGGGGGTAATTGCCCAAAACGTTTAGGAATAAGGGGCCAAAAAGGGGCCAAAAATAAGCATTTTTCTAGTTTCCAGATAATAACTTGTGTTCAAGTGTATGGATCTCTCTGAAATTGTACTGCAAGGTACCATACCACAAAGGGAAGGCTGGGATTGAGTTTGGGGGTGATGAATCATAAGGGGGTTCAAAAAATTTGGGGGGGGGTTTCCATTTTTTTCTTTTTTCCTTTTTTTTTTTCTTTTAAAATTTTCCATTTTAAGTTGGTTATTTCTGTTTTATATTTAAAAGCAAATAATAATGATATGGTAGGAGATACACACCAAACAGGATGTGTAAATTATTATATAATAAGTATTGTGCAATAGCAAGAAATTTTCAATTGCACAGTATTGCACAATAGCAAGAAATCTTCAATTGCACAGTATTGCGCAATAGCAAGAAATCTTCAATTGCACAGTATTGTGCAATAGCAAGAAATATCCAATAGCACAATATTGCGCAATAGCAAGAAATTGTAAATTGTACAGTATTGTGCAATAGCAAGAAATATTCAATTGCACAGTATTGTGCAAAAGAAGATACTTCGTATAAATTGCTTATTTCTTGACCAATTTCAATGGGGTTTTATTCTTGAATTCTTGGGGTTCTTTAATATGCTGATTCTAACCGTGTATTAAGTTTTTGGATATTGGGCCCCGTTTTTAAATTGGTCCACATTGAGGTCCAAAGGGTCCAAAATTAAACTTTGTTTGATTTTAACAAAAATTGAATTCTTAGGGTTCTTTGATATGCTGAATCTAAACATGTATTTAGATTTTTGATTATGGGCCCAGTTTTCAAGTTGGTCCAAATCGGGGTCCAAAATTAAACTTTGTTTGATTTCAACAAAAATTGAATATATGGGGTTCTTTGATATGCTGAATCTAACCATGTATTTAGATTTTTGATTTTTGGGCCCCTTTATCAACTATGTCCACATTGAGGTTAAAAGGGTCCAAAATTAAACTTTTTTTGTTTGATTACATCAAAAATTGAATTCTTGGGGTTCTTTGATATGCTGAATCTAACCATGTATTTAGATTTTGGATATTGGACCATAATAGGTGAATGTCCAATTTAAAATTTTTAAGTTCTTAGACCACATTCATTCTGTGTCAGAAACCTATGCTGTGTCAAATATTTAATCACAATCCAAATTCAGAGCTGTATCAAGCTTGAATGTTGTGTCCATACTTGCCCCAACTGTTCAGGGTTCGACCTCTGCGGTCGTATCAAGCTGCGCCCTGCGGAGCATTTTATTGTAAATTTTTGTAATCTTACAAAAATCTTCTCCTCTGAAACTACTGAGACAAATTAAACCAAACTTAGTCACAATCATTTTTAGGGTACCTAGTTTAAAAAATGTGTCCGATGACCCCGCCTGCCAACCAACATGGCGGACATGGCTAAAAATAGAACATAGGGTCAAAATGCAGTTTTTGGCTTATATCTCTAAAACTAAAGCATTTAGAGCAAATTTGACATAGGTAAAAATATTCATCAGGTTAAGATCTATCTGTCCTGGAATCTTCAGATGAATCAGACAAGCCGTTGTTAGGTTGCTGCCCCTGAATTAGTAATTTTAAGGAAATTTTGCAGTTTTTGGTTTATCTTGAATATTATTATAGATAGAGATAAACTGTGAACAGCAATAATGTTCAGCAAAGTAAGATCTACAAATAAAACAACATGACCAAAATAGTCAATTGACCCCATAAGGAGTTATTGCCCTTTAAAGTCAAATTTAACAATTTTTCGTAAATTTTTGTAATCTTTTACAAAAGTCTTCTCCTGAAACAACTGAGACAAATTTAACCGAACTTGGCCACAATCAGCATTAGGGTATCTAGTTTAAAAAATGTGTCCGATGACCCTGCCTGCCAAACAACATGGCAGACATGCCTAAAAATAGAACTTAGGGGAAAAATGCCGTTTTTGCCTTATATCTCTGAAACTAAAGCAAAAGTATAACGGTTGCATTATTCCATGCATCGATTGTAATGAAAAATATCAGGTGAGCGACACAGCAAGGAGCCTCTAGTTTTAACTCTTGCCATACAGGGCCGTAATAACAGGGTCATATCTATAATACTGTTATTTGGCTCCAATGGCTCGCCATACTTTTTTAGGTTCATCTTGAGCTCGAATACAAACTTCGAAATTAGAAATCAGATAAAACTGGATCTCCTGGAGGGGTGGGCTTCCCTTTGATGTCTTGACACATGAAGTTCAAAAGCTGAAAACTTCAAAAAATAGTGTAAACCCTCAGGCTTATAACTACTGATCATCTTTATTATTGATATAGGCCTAGGAAATAACTACTTCCGGTTGCGGGACCAGTTGTAGTCAAAAATAAAAAAAAATCAGGAAATTCATGATTTTTTGTGGAAATTACCTTCTTTGGACTGCTGTACCTAGATCAGTTTCACTCCCAACTAAGAGCTGTGGTGGTTAATGTGTTCATTGGGGTTCACTCTACATGTAGACTACAGTTGGATACATCTATCAGTATCCCTCAGTCTTTCAGGTCAAGAAATAGGACGATTAATCATCAAAATTGACGCTTTTTGCACCTGATGACCAATTTTTGGGGCAAATTCCCATCCACCCACCCCTACTTCCTCACCCAACCACCCCATCCATGCAGTGATCACCTATATTGGCTTTAATAGGTACAGCTCATTTGCATGTAACTCTCTTATTTTTGCAAATAAACAAAAATTATACATTTTCAGAAAACAGTTCAGCATATATATTAAGGGTTTAATATCATATGCCAAGTTATGGTTTTGGTCCTTATTTCATGCTTCATTGAACATGGAAAAAGTGTGCGTGGGGCATTGTGTCCTATGGCCTCATATTATTGTTCAATAATTTTTAATAGAAAAAGTTTCACTATCTGATTTACCCATGTATTTAGGCAGGTGGATATATACTTCAAGACTGGATGTTTATTTATGATTTTTATTTCATTTTTCAGACATTGGTTCAGACCATCACTGTTATAATTCCACAGAATGCCAAACTTATTTATGAAAGTATTGTTGATATCATTGATGCCTTTAAGTTAATAATGAAAGATCCTAAAACTGCATTAACTAAGATTGGTAAAGGTGTTGTACAGTGAGTAGAATTTTTTTGTTTAGGGTACTTTGATACTGATATAAGAGATGATTCCATTTCTCTTTTTATTGTGTTTCCCCTATTTTTAACCTCAATTTGTGCATTATTTTCTTTATTTAGCATAGTAATTGTCACCTGTTTCTGTGTTTATATTTGTTTTTTTTATAAAGAGTAATATGTAGAAAGACGGGTGTCATATGATCTTGACCTTAGTTAAGTAGTTAGTTGACCTTCAATTAAACATTTGCAGTATAAGTATTCAAATATTTCTGAAATCTGGCTAGACTTTTTAGCTCACCTGGCCCACAGGGCCAATTGAGCTTTTCTCATCACATGGCGTCCATCGTCCGGCTTCAATCATTAACTTTTACAAAAATCTTCTCCTCTGAAACTACTGGGCCAAATTTAACCAGACTTGGCCACAATCATCATTGGGGTATCTGGTTTATAAATTGTGTCCAATGACCCAGCCAACCAACTAAGATGGCTGCCATGGCTAAAAAAAGAACATCGGGGTAAAATATAAATGTTGGCTTATATCTCTGAAACTGAAGCATTTAGAGCAAATCTGACATTGGATTAAAATTGTTTATCAGGTCAAGATCTATCTGCCCTGAAATTTTCAGACAAATCGGACAACTGGTTGTTGGGTTGCTGCCCCTGAATTGGTAATTTTAAGGAAATTTTGCAGATTTTGGTTATAATCTTGAATATTATTGTAGATAGAGATAAACTGTTAGCAGCATAATGTTCAGCAAAGTAAGATCTACAAATAAGTCAACATGATCAAAATGGTCAATTGACCCCTTAAGGTGTAGTACCACCATTGATTTTCCCCTATTAGTCTTGTTAAATTTGCACTTTTCAAAAAATTGTGCAGAATTTATCTTTATTTCAAATAAAGAAATACTTGGCATGAGTAAAGTTTTATCCTGTCCAGTACTATAGAAAAAATTTCACATACATTTCATTGCACAAAAGAAAATAACCATCACTGGAAGTTAACCAATCAAATTTTCCCCCTTTTTTAACCTGTGTACAAGCTTTAGTAACCATGTAACCTCAAGTTTCCAAAATATTCTATAGAAACCCCAAATAAAGAAATAATGGTGCTTTGAAATACCCAAGATATATGTTTATGACTCAGAAATGTTTTACTGCAATGAAATGTAGGATCAATTACCTACAACTGTCAAATTCAAGGGAATATTTTTTTCGACCTATTTTCGTATGCAACCGGATGTGACGTACTATGATTTGGTGGTATTACACCTAAAGAAGACTTTTTTGTTGAATAAACTGAATGTGACTTTTTTCCTTTGTAATACTGGTTATTTCAAGCATTCCTGTCAAGTTTTGTCATAATCAGTTCAATAGTTTGAGAAAAATCTAGTATAATGTAAGACGACATCTACAGCGATTCGAGCAAAATTTCTTCGAAAAATTCAAACCAAGCCACATCATGATAGAATATAGTGTGGACCAATAAATGACTAAATATTTATCTCATCTGCCTACAAACAGTTGAATATGATACAAAAGATGACTTTAGGATGATAAATACTACTAATGGACCTCTTATTCTTCCTTATAAAGTCTCTTTTGGTCCATTTATACCTCTCATTTCCTCAAAATTTCTACTTTTTAGGCCAATAAATAAAAATTTTGATGTAACTTTCACTCATTTATGATAGAAATGTTATTATAAATGATTAATTGAAGTATTCAAGCTGCTTGAACTATCCGTATAAAAGTTTACTGTCTCCAAGGAGGTTTCAATAAGTCCTTGCGTAAAACTTAAATTTACGCCGCGTTCCAGAGAGGGACATAAAAAACTTCTCTTTTGGTGAATAATTTGTTGTTACTACTTTAAAAATAATTTCATTTACTTAAAACTATATATTTATTAAAGTATTTCCTAGGAAAATTTTTCTAGTATAGCAGAATATAAGAAATAAGGAGAAAAAGCTCCCCAAGACTCTAAGTATGGCTTGTTCTGTCAACTAATATTCATGGTAAAGTCCTATTTCAAGGAAATTTTCTCATAAAATGTATTTTGGAGACTCAATCCACTCAGAATATTTCATTATTTGTAATATTTCACTTAAATAGCAAGAAATTTTAACACATGAGAGTACTCACAAGGTCAAAGGTGCATGTACAGCTTCCCATATTAAAGAAGACTTTTTTGTTGAATAAACTGAATGTGACTTTTTTCCTTTGTAATACTGGTTATTTCAAGCATTCCTGTCAAGTTTTGTCATAATCAGTTCAATAGTTTGAGAAAAATCTAGTATAATGTAAGACGACATCTACAGCGATTCGAGCAAAATTTCTTCGAAAAATTCAAACCAAGCCACATCATGATAGAATATAGTGTGGACCAATAAATGATCAAATATTTATCTCATCTGCCTACAAACAGTTGAATATGATACAAAAGATGACTTTAGGATGATAAATACTACTAATGGACCTCTTATTCTTCCTTATAAAGTCTCTTTTGGTCCATTTATACCTCTCATTTCCTCAAAATTTCTACTTTTTAGGCCAATAAATAAAAATTTTGGGGTAACTTTCACTCATTTATGATAGAAATGTTATTATAAATGATTAATTGAAGTATTCAAGCTGCTTGAACTATCCGTATAAAAGTTTACTGTCTCCAAGGAGGTTTCAATAAGTCCTTGCGTAAAACTTAAATTTACGCCGCGTTCCAGAGAGGGACATAAAAAACTTCTCTTTTGGTGAATAATTTGTTGTTACTGCTTTAAAAATAATTTCATTTACTTAAAACTATATATTTATTAAAGTATTTCCTAGGAAAATTTTTCTAGTATAGCAGAATATAAGAAATAAGGAGAAAAAGCTCCCCAAGACTCTAAGTATGGCTTGTTCTGTCAACTAATATTCATGGTAAAGTCCTATTTCAAGGAAATTTTCTCATAAAATGTATTTTGGAGACTCAATCCACTCAGAATATTTCATTATTTGTAATATTTCACTTAAATAGCAAGAAATTTTAACACATGAGAGTACTCACAAGGTCAAAGGTGCATGTACAGCTTCCCATATTAAAGAAGACTTTTTTGTTGAATAAACTGAATGTGACTTTTTTCCTTTGTAATACTGGTTATTTCAAGCATTCCTGTCAAGTTTTGTCATAATCAGTTCAATAGTTTGAGAAAAATCTAGTATAATGTAAGACGACATCTACAGCGATTCGAGCAAAATTTCTTCGAAAATTCAAACCAAGCCGCATCATGATAGAATATAGTGTGGACCAATAAATGATCAAATATTTATCTCATCTGCCTACAAACAGTTGAATATGATACAAAAGATGACTTTAGGATGATAAATACTACTAATGGACCTCTTATTCTTCCTTATAAAGTCTCTTTTGGTCCATTTATACCTCTCATTTCCTCAAAATTTCTACTTTTTAGGCCAATAAATAAAAATTTTGGGGTAACTTTCACTCATTTATGATAGAAATGTTATTATAAATGATTAATTGAAGTATTCAAGCTGCTTGAACTATCCGTATAAAAGTTTACTGTCTCCAAGGAGGTTTCAATAAGTCCTTGCGTAAAACTTAAATTTACGCCGCGTTCCAGAGAGGGACATAAAAAACTTCTCTTTTGGTGAATAATTTGTTGTTACTGCTTTAAAAATAATTTCATTTACTTAAAACTATATATTTATTAAAGTATTTCCTAGGAAAATTTTTCTAGTATAGCAGAATATAAGAAATAAGGAGAAAAAGCTCCCCAAGACTCTAAGTATGGCTTGTTCTGTCAACTAATATTCATGGTAAAGTCCTATTTCAAGGAAATTTTCTCATAAAATGTATTTTGGAGACTCAATCCACTCAGAATATTTCATTATTTGTAATATTTCACTTAAATAGCAAGAAATTTTAACACATGAGAGTACTCACAAGGTCAAAGGTGCATGTACAGCTTCCCATATTAAAGAAGACTTTTTTGTTGAATAAACTGAATGTGACTTTTTTCCTTTGTAATACTGGTTATTTCAAGCATTCCTGTCAAGTTTTGTCATAATCAGTTCAATAGTTTGAGAAAAATCTAGTATAATGTAAGACGACATCTACAGCGATTCGAGCAAAATTTCTTCGAAAAATTCAAACCAAGCCACATCATGATAGAATATAGTGTGGACCAATAAATGATCAAATATTTATCTCATCTGCCTACAAACAGTTGAATATGATACAAAAGATGACTTTAGGATGATAAATACTACTAATGGACCTCTTATTCTTCCTTATAAAGTCTCTTTTGGTCCATTTATACCTCTCATTTCCTCAAAATTTCTTCTTTTTAGGCCAATAAATAAAAATTTTGGGGTAACTTTCACTCATTTATGATAGAAATGTTATTATAAATGATTAATTGAAGTATTCAAGCTGCTTGAACTATCCGTATAAAAGTTTACTGTCTCCAAGGAGGTTTCAATAAGTCCTTGCGTAAAACTTAAATTTACGCCGCGTTCCAGAGAGGGACATAAAAAACTTCTCTTTTGGTGAATAATTTGTTGTTACTGCTTTAAAAATAATTTCATTTACTTAAAACTATATATTTATTAAAGTATTTCCTAGGAAAATTTTTCTAGTATAGCAGAATATAAGAAATAAGGAGAAAAAGCTCCCCAAGACTCTAAGTATGGCTTGTTCTGTCAACTAATATTCATGGTAAAGTCCTATTTCAAGGAAATTTTCTCATAAAATGTATTTTGGAGACTCAATCCACTCAGAATATTTCATTATTTGTAATATTTCACTTAAATAGCAAGAAATTTTAACACATGAGAGTACTCACAAGGTCAAAGGTGCATGTACAGCTTCCCATATTAAAGAAGACTTTTTTGTTGAATAAACTGAATGTGACTTTTTTCCTTTGTAATACTGGTTATTTCAAGCATTCCTGTCAAGTTTTGTCATAATCAGTTCAATAGTTTGAGAAAAATCTAGTATAATGTAAGACGACATCTACAGCGATTCGAGCAAAATTTCTTCGAAAAATTCAAACCAAGCCCCATCATGATAGAATATAGTGTGGACCAATAAATGATCAAATATTTATCTCATCTGCCTACAAACAGTTGAATATGATACAAAAGATGACTTTAGGATGATAAATACTACTAATGGACCTCTTATTCTTCCTTATAAAGTCTCTTTTGGTCCATTTATACCTCTCATTTCCTCAAAATTTCTACTTTTTAGGCCAATAAATAAAAATTTTGGGGTAACTTTCACTCATTTATGATAGAAATGTTATTATAAATGATTAATTGAAGTATTCAAGCTGCTTGAACTATCCGTATAAAAGTTTACTGTCTCCAAGGAGGTTTCAATAAGTCCTTGCGTAAAACTTAAATTTACGCCGCGTTCCAGAGAGGGACATAAAAAACTTCTCTTTTGGTGAATAATTTGTTGTTACTGCTTTAAAAATAATTTCATTTACTTAAAACTATATATTTATTAAAGTATTTCCTAGGAAAATTTTTCTAGTATAGCAGAATATAAGAAATAAGGAGAAAAAGCTCCCCAAGACTCTAAGTATGGCTTGTTCTGTCAACTAATATTCATGGTAAAGTCCTATTTCAAGGAAATTTTCTCATAAAATGTATTTTGGAGACTCAATCCACTCAGAATATTTCATTATTTGTAATATTTCACTTAAATAGCAAGAAATTTTAACACATGAGAGTACTCACAAGGTCAAAGGTGCATGTACAGCTTCCCATATTAGGTGTAATACCACCATTGATTTTCCCCTATTAGTCTTTGTTAAATTTGCACTTTTCAAAAAATTGTGCAGAATTTATCTTTGTTTCAAATAAAGAAATACTTTGCATGAGTAAAGTTTTATCCTGTCCAGTACTATAGAAAAAATTTCACATAACATTTCATTGCATATAAGAAAATAACCATCACTGGAAGTTAACCAATCAAATTTTCCTCCTTTTTTAACCTGTGTACAAGCTTTAGTAACCATGTAACCTCAAGTTTCCAAAATATTCTATAGAAACCCCAAATAAAGAAATAATGGTGCTTTGAAATACCCAAGATATATGTTTATGACTCAGAAATGTTTTACTGCAATGAAATGTAGGATCAATTACCTACAACTGTCAAATTCAAGGGAATATTTTTTTTCGACCTATTTTCGTATGCAACCGGATGTGACGTACTATGATTTGGTGGTATTACACCTTAAGGAGTTATTGTCCTTTATTGTAATTTTTTAACAATTTTTCAATCTTTTACAAAAGGTTTCTCCACTGAAACAACTGAGACAAATTTAACCAAACTTGGCCACAATCATCATTAGGATATCTAGTTTCAAAAATGTGTCCGATGACCCTGCCTGCCAACCAATATTGCTGACATGGCTAAAAATAGATCATAGGGGTAAAATGCAGTTTTTAGCTTATATGTCTGAAACTAAAGCAAAAGTATAATGGTTGCATTATTTCATGCATCAATTGTAAATAAAAATATCAGGTGAGCAACACAGGCTCCTTGGAGCCTCTAGTTTATTTGTCTTATGTTGTTTTCAATTAAAGAACTTAATAATGTTATGGTTACTTATTTGCATATTTTTGTTGCAGGATTTATACGTCTATAAAGGCTTTACTAGATGTGAAGAATAAAACACAAGAGGCTTGCTTCTTCTTGAAAGGTAAGTAAATATACAAGCAACAATATTGTCTTCCCAATGCAGACAGAGCATATAGATTTAACTTAGTCTATCCTCTCTTCGTCATTGTCAAGTAAAGGCAAGATTTATTACACTGTTAAAGTTACATAAATGCAGCTTTTATGAATGAAATACTGTAAAATAAAGACCTTAGTTTATTTGTGTAGGCAGTATGAATTCCTGAGGTAACACTTGTAACAAAGTTATCATCAGATATAGTTTTAAGCTCACCTGGCCCGAAGGGCCAAGTGGGCTATTCTCATCACTTGGCGTCCGTCGTCTGTCGTCCGTCGTCCGTTGTTGTCCGTCGTCCGTCATCCGTTGTTGTCCGTCGTCGTTAACTTTTTAGCTCACCTGGCCTAAAAGGCCAAGTGAGCTTTTCTCATCACTCGGCGTCTGACGTCCGTCGTCCGTCGTCTGTTGTCCATCGTCGTTTACTTTTACAAAGATCTTCTCTGAAACTACTGGACCAAATTTAACCAAACTTGGCCACAATCATCATTGGGGTATCTAGTTTAAAAAATGAGTCCAATGACCAGGCCCCCTAACCAAGATGCCTGCCATGGCAATAGAACATAGGGGTAAAATGTAGATTTTTGGCTTATATCTCTGAAACCAAAGCATTTAGAGGAAATCTGCCATTGGTAAAATTGTTCATCAGGTGAAGATCTATCTGCCCTGAAATTTTCAGACAAATCAGACAACTCATTGTTGGGTTGCTGCCCATGAATTGGTAATTCTTAGAAAATTTTGCAGGTTTTGGTTATTATCTTCAATATTATTATAGATAGAGATAAACTGTAAACAGCAATAATGTACAGCAAAGTAAGATCTACAAATAAGTCAAACATGACCAAAATGGTCAATTGACCCCTTAAGGAGTTATTGCCCTTTATAGTCAATTTTTAACAATTTTTTGTAAATTTTTGTAATCTTTTACAAAAATCTTCTCCTCTGAAACTACTGAGACAAATTTAACCAAACTTGGCTACAATCATCATTAGGGTATCTAGTTTAAAAAATGTGTCCGATGACCTGGCCAGCCAACCAAGATGGCCGCCATGGCTAAAAATAGAACAGGGGTAAAATGCAAGTTATATCTATTATTTTAGCTCACCTGGCCAGAAGGGCCAAGTGAGCTTTTCTCATCACTTGGCGTCAGTCTTCTATCGTCCGTCGTTGTCGTCGTCCGTCGTCGTTAGCTTTTACAAAAATCTTCTCCCCCGAAACCACTGGGCCAAATTTAACCAAACTTGGCCAAAATCATCATTAGGGTATCTAGTTTAAAAAAATATGTCCGATGACCCCGCCAACCAACCAAGATGGCCGCCATTGCTAAAAATAGAACATAGGGGTAAAATGTAGATTTTGGCTTGTATCTCTGAAACCAAAGCATTTAGAGTAAATCTGACATAGGGTAAAACTGATAATCAGGTGAAGATCTATCTGCCCTGAAATTTTCAGACAAATCTGACTACCCGTTGTTGGGTTGCTGCCCCTGAACTGGTAATTTTAAGGAAATTTTGCAGTTTTTGGTTATCTTGAATATTATTATAGATAGAGATAAACTGTAAACAGCAATAATGTTCAGCAAAGTAAGATCTACAAATAAGTTGTCATGACCAAAATTGTCAGTCGACCCCTGTAGGAGTTATTGCCCTTTATAGTCAATTTTTAACAATTTTTCGTAAATTTTTGTAATCTTTTACAAAAATCTTCTTCTCAGAAACTACTAAGACAAATTTAACCATACTTGGCCTTAATCATAATTAGGGTATCTAGTTTAAAAAATTTGTCCGATGACCCCGCCTTCCAACCATCATGGCTGATATGATTAAAAATAGAACATAGGGGTAAAATGCAGTTTTTGGTTTATATCTCTGAAACTAAAGCATTTAGAGCAAATTTGACAGGTGGCAAAAATGTTCATCAGATTTAGATTTATCTGCCCTGAAATAACCCGTTGTTGGTTTGCTGCTCCTGAGTTAGTAATTTTACAGAAATTTTGCATTTTTTTGTTATTATCTTAGATATCATTATAATATCTAATATCTAATACTGTTAATTATGATTTTAACCTTATTTTACATGATTTCCAAAGCATCAGTAAATACAGGTGAGCGACACAGGCTCTTGAGAGTTTGAACAGTTATAAATAGAGAAAATCTGAAAGGAGCAAAAATGTTCAGAATAATGAGCTCTACCAATTGTCCATATACGTCAAAACTGTTAGACGAATTCTTAAAAACCCAAGTAGAGTCAGGTGAAGGGTACATGTCAGTCTGTCAGATTTCATCTGACCTCGACCTCATTTTCATGGCAGGCCTCAGCCAAATGTTGTCCGTGCATTTACTCATGAAACGTTCAACCAAAGCTTTTAAAATTTTAATATGTTGTTACTGACAACAAAATGGAGGTCAAGTTTAATAATGACGATTTTGACTTTTACCGTTCAGGAGTTATGGTTCTTCAAAGATTGAAAAATTGGGTTTCCAGTCGTGTCCATGCATTTACTCATGAACCGTTCAAACAAAGCTTTTCAAATTCAAATATGTTGTTACTGATGACAAAATGGAGGTAAAGTTCGATGATGTCGATTTTCACTTTTCCTGTTCAGGAGTTATGGCTCTTGAAAGATTGAAAAAGGGCGTTTCCAGTCATGTCATTGCATTTACTCATGAACCATTCAACCAAAGCTTTTCAAATTTTAAAATGTTGTTACTGATGACAAAATGGAGGTCAAGTAGGGTAATGACGATTTTCACTTTTACCGTTCAGGAGTTACGGTTCTTGAAATATTGAAAAGATGATATTTTGAAGTTCATTACATTACTAATAATTATATATATATGTAATGTAGAGTACTATATTAAACCATAGTTCTGTTCAAAGGGAAATAACCCTTCACATTTGCAAGTATGATTTTCATTATTAATTTTATTTTTATTTTTTTTTTGTAAATTGTTTGAAGAATTTTATGGTGTGTTTGTTATTCTGTAAAAACTAATTTTCTGAGTAATATATGTATACCATTGTTTTGTTGTGTCTGTTAATTTTAATTTTTACTTGGTCCTGTTTGGGGTTCCAGATTCAAAAATTCATTAGATAATAATCTATTATTTATAAGTTAAAAAGTTAAAGTTAAGATAAGATAAGTTGCAGATCTATATTAGTATGTTACAAATCATATTTAATTTTAGATTTACATTATTGGTTCATGGAAATAAAGTTTGAGTTATTTCCATTTGAACAGAAATGGTTTAACTAAGAAGTATTTCATCAAAAATTGAATTCTTGGGGTTCTTTGATATGCTGATTCTAGCAATGTACTTTGATTTTGGATATTGGACCATAATAGGTAAATGTTCAATTTCAAATTTTTCAGTTCTATTAGGTGTAATACCACCATTGATTTTCCCCTATTAGTCTTTGTTAAATTTGCACTTTTCAAAAAATTGTGCAGAATTTATCTTTGTTTCAAATAAAGAAATACTTGGCATGAGTAAAGTTTGATCCTGTCCAGTACTATAGAAAAAATTTCACATAACATTTCATTGCATATAAGAAAATAACCATCACTGGAAGTTAACCAATCACATTTTCCCCCTTTTTTAACCTGTATACAAGCTTTAGTAACCATGTAACCTCAAGTTTCCAAAATATTCTATAGAAACCCCAAATAAAAAAATAATGGTGCTTTGAAATACCCAAGATATATGTTTATGACCCAGAAATGTTTTACTGCAATGAAATGTAGGATCAATTACCTACAACTGTCAAATTCAAGGGAATATTTTTTTTCGACCTATTTTCGTATGCAACCGGATGTGACGTACTATGATTTGGTGGTATTACACCTTGACCACATTTATTTTGTGTCACAAACCCATGCTGTATCAAATATTCAATCACAATCCAAATTCAGAGCTGTTTTAAGCTTAAATGTTGTGTCCATACTTGCTCAACTGTTCAGGGTTTGACGTCTGCAGGAAAATCCGGTTTGCTGTCTCTCTGACAGCCTCTTGTTATGATTTTATCTGTTTTTATGATACTACAAGGAATAGATCAACCATATTTGGAGAATGAATTCATTATTAGGTGTTCCTATTCATATAAGATATTTATGACAAGGAAAAAGTCAAAGGTATAGTACTTATGTTTAATTTTAGACAATGGAATCTTAATATTTTGCAGATGAAAAACCATACTGGTGGGACATTTCAACAGTTTTTGAAGAAATTTCTGCACTTGCACAACAAGCTGTAAAAGCATTGGCAACAGGTGGACCCACCTGGATATCAGCTTCTGCTATGAAAGGAGAAGATCCAGTTGCAATATTCACCAAAGGCAAAGTTTCACAAGTAAGTTATACTTATTATTCCTATTATGTAACTTTCTAGGTTTTTTTTAAAGATAGTATATTTTCAATGAAGCTGATATCAAAGAACCTGCACAGGTGGTGCTGTTTTGCATCTAGGCAATTAAACATTTCATTATCTAGAGGATTGTGGGTAATTTCATTGTTTGTACCCCAATATGAAAATAACATCATGTCATTGGTTGAATACCCATATTTTAGGACTTGTAAGCCAATCACAATGTTATGGTGTAAGCTTTTGAAAATACTACCCAGAATTAATTAGATTCTGAAACGGTGAATTACTGTAAGGTCTTCAATGATGAAATAAAAAAAATCACATCTTACAGTATCAACTGAAGCATGGACTGTTAAATTTTGTAATATACTTTTCAAGTGTTTTTTAAAAATTTAATTAGAATATGTTTTGGGGCGAAAAAAGAGTTGATAAAAGCTTAATTGTTATAAAGCGTGGAAGTATGCAAAATATATGTATGGTTTACATTTTACAATTTAATAAAGCTTCAAAAAGGAGGCATTAAATTTTGTATAATTACAATTATATTCTACAACAAGGAAATATAAGTTAAATCACACTTTCTGTTTGTTTTGTTTTAAATATTCCTGCACATT